AGAACAATACTTATTATATTGTCGCCGAATTACAATTAAAATTCAGGATTCAATTACAATCAAACGTCAGGAACTGATTATTGAACCCCAACTAATATGGCAAGTTAAATACGTACTTAAACCTGACTAAACGTTTGAAAAAAGAGCATTGATCTATTTTAATATGTTTAAATGATGTAGCAAATTTGAAGGTAGGATTTATCAGAAAGTATTACAATATGAATTACACAATGGCAACACTGCACAAAATTCTTTTAAATTTCGTTTGCAGAAAACTATTTTCTTTTGAATTTATCGCCCTCTATTATGTAGTAGCGAAACTACCGCATCAAAATATCTGATTTGATTTTTGACAAAATGCATTTAGTAAGTCTGCTTCTCATTATTGTGGTCATTAATAACTACTATAATTTGAAATACATATCAGAGAGGAACCAAAATGAGATACTTTTAAGCTACTCTTCTAAAATAATATAGATAAAACACCAGAAAATGGATGAAATACCAGAAAATCCATTAATAATGCCTCTTAACTCAATATCGAAGAACATACATGTCGCAAAAATTAAATTTTCTATCTACGGGAAATATTTTGTGAAAACGAAATATGTCACTTTTTTAATGGCAAATGTGACAAAACAGGTAAGCCATTTTATGCTGTCAGTTCGTTTCAGTGTTAGTTCGATTTTATTTTTGTTTCTGTGTGAAGGCAGCGAAAAAGATTGGATTAAAAACGATTGCAATACTCCATGAAAATATCGTATCTACAAGTATTATTGAATAGCTTAAGTGTATGTATAGAATTTGTGGAAATTATTTTAGCATTATGATTTAGAATGTGTTCAAAATATATTATGTGAAATGTGTTGTAATTATTGTGACAATATTTATGCAGTTATGCAACATCAAGATCAAGGGAGCATTTTCTTGATCTTACAGGATCCAGTCTTGTTCTTGGTCTTCCTACAAGACTGTTGCAATCTTAAACAATACCTTTTTACTAGAGGCATTTTTATGTATAAACTGCTTAAAAAAATTGTTTTAATTATTTTGATGCACATAAAACTTAATCAAAAATATTGTTTGATGAAAACTTTTATTTACCATTGAATCAGCATTGCTTTTTTAAAATTTTGTAAAAAATTATGAAAAACATTACCTATTTTCAATAAATTAAAACAATAATTTGGAATACATATTCAATATCCAATATTCAAAACCGCTAGAGTCTTGAATGTGCGTCTTGGCATTGGTCTTGCTTTTTGGGCAAGACCAAGACTAGCCTCATTCATTAGAGGTAATTGTGGTAAGTCAATAAGACTAATTTGTGACTTATATTACAAGAAATAAATGGAGAATATCCTCGAGAATATCTTAACCATCTAAGATTCGCTGATGACATAGTCCTAATTGCCAATAGTCCTGAAGAACTACAAACACTAATTAACGCCAGTAATACTAACTTGAAAATTAACTGTTGAAAGTTAACTGATGATGCTAACATAGTTAGATGATTGAAATCAGTTCCAACAAAGGTTCCAACCCTCAACTGTAATAGTAATAAATTAGTCATTGATTTAAGGTAGTTTAAATCTGATTCCGTTGGATCACATATTAACAAAAAACAAATAAAACGAACAACGCTTTATTGTACAAAAAGCCCAAACAGCTTCATCGACAAAGCACTCACAAACAACAAAATCACAATAAAAATACAAACAACAAAAAATACACAATACAAATAATACAATTCAAAAAAATTTAAGTCTTTAAAATTACAAAAAGAATATATATGGACAATTTTAGAACAGTACGCAGTAAATAGATATAATTTTAGATTTATAAAATATTAAATACTTGACCTTTGACCAGTGTGTGAGATGATCAAAATTTTAAAATTCAAAATTGTTCATAATTAAACATCAACAAAAAAGTCGTTTACCGCATATAGGGCTCTCTCCAGTAGGTATGATTTTAGAGCTTTGCGAAATGCGGGAAAGAATGAAAGCGACTTGATATTCAAAGGCAGATGATTGTACATTTTTTTGGCATTGTACTGTATTGAATCCTTAACTAGTTCTGAGCTCGGGGTTGGCAGATAAAGAGATGGCCTTTCATGGAATAGCAGATATGTGCTTGCGGATTAAGCAAACGGATTCAAAAATGAATAAAGAAGGAAGAGTCAGTATTTTGAAATTTTTAAAGAATTTCTGGCAGTGAGTTCTACTGTTCAGTCCCAATAAATATCGAACTGCTCTCTTTTGAAGTCTGAAAACCCGATCAAATTTTGTTGCGCAGCAAGTACCCCAGAATGGAAGGGCATAACGAAGATGTGACTCAAAAAGGGCATAATAGGCTATTCTAGAGATTGAGAAGTTAAGTTCCTCTTAAATCTTTCCGTTAAATCTATAGTCAACACGTAGTCAGGTGAAGCAAAAAAAAAAAAATTGACCTGCAGTAGTTCTGCACTTAATGCTAATATTTTAATCCACTATATGTTAATATAACAGGTGATACGTTTCACCTTTGAAACCGATTGCTTGGTTAACTTCGATTCAATTGATAAAAGTGATAAGACAAGGTTGTCTGTGATCGGACAGATTTAGATCGCATGGTTTGATAAATGTCAGATAAATGAACTAAACTAGGTTAAAAAGTGAAAAGATATTAATTATTATTTTAATGAAGGCACTGTCGAGGAATATTTTTCAGCTCCTTTTGTTTCTCAAGCTGTTTATAATGTAGATTAATAATGTATTATTTCATATTTTTCTGCTCAGCAAATAAGAATATTCCAGTAATATTGAATATTGTAGATAGTATAACAATTATTTATCCAAATTTAAAATGTTTAGATCATATTTTTAAATTAATTTATTGAGAATTGTTGGAATATTTAATATATTAACAATATATAGTATATAGGGTATTTCAAAAACTTGTGGTTCCTCACTCAAAATGATTTTAATTTAATCCGAAGTCAAATTCAACATAAAGTTCAAATGATTTAAGTTTTAAATCTTTGACTTAAATAATTTTATTTCAAGTCAAGTCATTTTTGTAAATACTTAAATCGATATAATGTTATTTAAATCGGTTTTTTTTACTTAAGTTTATATTTTTGACTTAAATCATGATGATCTGCAAGTTAATTTAGTAAAATTACTTAAATCAATATAATTACCCTCAAGTCAAGCCAACCAGAATTCAATTTAAGTACCTTCTTTTAAATGTTAGTATTAGGTTCGTTCCAACCGGACCGAGAACCCATCCTGGGACCAGAGGCGCAACTAGGGGGGTATTACCAATTAGCGATTTTCTTACTAAGTGTCATATTATATTATTAAAATATTGTAGATACAGATGAGAATAAAACCATTTAAAACAAAACGATTTATTTTCAAAATAACTAATATAATCAACAATAAAAAAATAACATAAAAGCATAAAGAAAATAAAAACTTATATTAAATTAAATGCTACTTTTTTATGAAACTAAAAATGATACCTACCACGCATATTTGTCTTAGCCCGTTGAATTCCTGAAATACAGGGCGAAATTGAAACTGTTGCATTTTTCGACTCCCCTCATATCTCGGCCTAATGGCTAAGTTATAATTAACTTACCGAAAATCGAGCTACATAGAGATTTCAAAGTAAAATTCAGTTGCGCAACTTAAACCAAATTACGAAGAGGGTCGAAGAATGCAATATTTTAAAATTCGTCTTATATTTCATGAACTAAGAAGACTAGGTGTGTACTATAATTAGGTGCGTGAAAAAGAAATGCTGCTGTCATTCATGTCATTCTTTTTTTTCTTATCACGCCCTCTCCTGCCGAAGGTTGGCGATCCAAATGGCAATTGAGGCTCTGGAAACTGCAGCCCGGAAGATTTCCGCAGACGAGCGTTCAAACCATCTCCTTAAATCTTTTAGCCATGAGTTCTGGCGACTTCCTACTGATTTTTTCGCTTGCACTTTGTCTTCTATTATGAGGTGCAGTATTTCGTATCTATTACCTCCCATCACATGACCCAGGTATTGCATTTTTCTTTCCTTGATGGTGTTCAGTATCTCTTTTTGTTTCTGCATGCGCTGGAGTACTTCATCGTTGGTGATCCTTTGTACCCATGTGATTCGCAGCATCCGTCTGTACACATACATTTCGAAGGCTTCTATTCTCTTTTCGGTCTATGAATTTAGTGTCCAGCTCTCACATCCATAGAGTAACACAGAGAATACGTAGCATCTGGCCATTCGAGTTCTGAGTTCCGCACTGAGGTCTCGTCTTGTAAAAAATGATTTCATACTCACGAATTTTTCTCGCTTGCTCAATTCTTGAAAATATTTCTCTTTTCGAGTAGCACTGACTATTGATGTTAGCTCCTAAATACTTTATTGACGTCACTTGTTCGATTGTTTGTCCCTTGACATGCAGGTGTGCATTTATTGTTGTCTTAGAAAAAAACAATAGTTTGGTCTTGGAGACATTGAGATGCAGTCCAAGCATCTCAATATAGTGGACTACGGAATCTATGATGCTTTGCAGTTCTTGTATATCGTTGGCTATTATAACCCTATCATCAGCATATCTGATATTGTTTATTGAGATTCCATTGAACTTGATTCCGCCCTGGATCCAGTTCAGTGCTTCTCTAAATATAGTCTCCGAGTACAGGTTAAACTTCGAGCGGAGACAAGACGGAACCCTATCGAACACCCCGTCTGATTTGTATATCTTCCGATGTTGACTGCTTCATCTCAACTACCGCCGCCGCCGTTTGATGCCAATAAAGTTCTGATATGAAACGTAGGTCTTGTTCGTCAACTCCGGTTGTTCTAAGAATTTTGATCAGCTTCTGATGATTAACACATTCGAACGCCTTACGATAGTCTATGAAGCATGCAAAGTTAAGCCATTAAAATGATTTAAATAAAAAAATAAGTTTTTTTAGCTTGCCTCTCTGGTTATACTACAAGCTATTTTTGTATTGTTTCAGATCGTTCGAATAGCGGAAACCAAAGAAGGCCTCTTGGACTTTTCGGACCTAGAGAACCAATTAAGACTGCACCAAAACTGCGGCAGGCAGATGATAGGCTGTTTTTCTGTGGCGTCCGGTGTCACAGGAATCCTTATCGATGACGTGGCCTGCACCATTCTGCTCCATCAATACGGATCGTTGGCCTTTTGGGACTACAATATGGCGGCGCCAAGCATACAGATCGACATGAACCCCAGCGTTCAAGGGGTAGAAGATAATTTAGCTAATAAGGATGCCGTGTACTTCTCAGGGCATAAATTCGTTGGTGGAGTACAAACGCCAGGTAGTTTTTGATGGTATTATGTAATTTTTCAAGAAGATAAAGATTAAAAAAAATGCGCCAATGAATAGACATCATTTTCTAAAAATTTTCGATAGATAATTTGTTTTAGCATCAGTACCAATTACTAATTTTGAAAACTTTTACACAATATTGCCGACTATTTCATTCATTGTTGATCGCCCCTATAAATTGGCGTGATTTGGAATATTTTTGATATTGGGTGTCCCAGGCTGAGCGTGCATTAGAAGTTTTTAGAGAACTACAATATTTGGATGTCGAGATACAATGTCTAGTACACAGAACATTAGAGTACATATTATTCACTCTAAATCCAAGCAAATAAGTTTGAAAATATTCCTATACTCAATCTAACACATTGTTTTTTTTCTGTGTAGAGAAAATCCTTTATAATACAGTTTCCTTAAAAAATAAATGTGGTATAAACATTAAAATGAATTAATTATCTGACAATTAAAACAATTTCATAATTCATAAGAAAATTCTAGTGGATGTTGAAATCGCGCATCTTTTATTGGCAATCTTAATTGTTTTCAATAATTATTGCGAAATAGATACTTCAAGAGTCATTTAGATATTGAATATGTTCTACTGGAAAATTTTACCTACCATGTATTTACTTGAAAGGTCTTACAGATTTTAACCTTAACATTTTTGTGTAAATGCTTGAAGGATTTCTTAAAGATTTTATCGTAAAATTACAGAGAAGATATTTTAATGAGCGCATCTAATCTTGCTTATTTCTTGATTGATGTTATTTTCAATGATATATTACTAGAAAAAAATGGAGGATGACCTACAAGAAAAAATGAACTATTTTGAAAGTTCTATTTTTATATCCATATGACATGATATATGATTTATAAGTATGTATTTTCATCGTCTGATTTTTTTTTGACATAGAAGGTTGATCAATTGACTCATCAATAGATTTCTTCATCAAACTGTTCATCTGGTTCTTGTTCAATATCTATGTCTTCGATATTTTCGTTGGTCATTAATTCTGCCAATCGAGAACATTGATTTACTGGTTATACTTACTGCACTATGCGAGTCTCAGAATAACATCTACTTTTTAAAGCAAGGAAAGGGAAAAGCTGGAAATACCCTCTATTCATCCTCTGCATCAATATTGGACACGACTATGAAAGAAAACATTTTGTTTTTACATGAATTTAGTGGGTGCGACACCACTTCAGCAATTTATAGGCAGGGTAAAATGAAGCTTCTTAAGGTTCTAAGAAATCAGACAAGTTTGAAAACTGCCATTTACTGTTTTAGAGACCCAAATGCAACCAAAAAGCATAGCCAACGTTGGAATTCAATTTCTTCTTGCACTTTATGGGTCAAAGAGCGACGACACATCACTACACATCTATAGACATCGATTTTTTTGAAGAGTTTATTTAATCTTGCATCCCCCTTCCTCCAAGATCCCCCTTCCTCGAAGATGCGGCTCGAATGCACTCATTTCGTACATACCTACAAGTCCAAAAATGGTACGGTAACGAAAAAATACCCACTCACTGGGGTTAGAAGCAGTCGTCCAATGGACTTATACCGATTCCTATGCTGCAAGACGCCGCTCCCCAAGAGTTATTGAAGATGATTTCTTGTAAATGTATAAAAGGTTGCAACGCAGCCTGCTGCAGAAAAGCAGGATTAACACTGTTCGGTAGTGTGCGGTTCGTGCCAGGGAAGAGCGTGTTCAAATTCTGAAATAACTCTAGAAGATCCAGGGGACGACGAAGAAATGGATTCTCGATTAAAAGAATTAATGACTAACGAAAATATTGAAGACATAGACATTGAACTAGAACCAGATGAACAGTTTGATGAAGAATATATTGATGAATCAATTGATCAACCTTCTACGTCAAAAAAAAGCAGACGCTGAAAATACATACTTAAAACATATATCATGTCATATGGATATGAAAATAGAACATTTGCAACGGCAAGAAAGTGGATTAGGCTTATAGGGGAAACCATTTAAAAAAAAGTGCGCCGAGTGCTCTACCGCCAGGTGGTGTGGAAACGAGCACAAGAAAAACACAAATTTGTACTGGCAAATTATTTAAATTCAATGAACCACTAGAAAATATATGCTTTGTATTTAAGCGCCTGTATCTCGTTAATCTGTTCATGCACGCCATTGGTGAATAGGACTTTTTTGTAGAGAATTTAAATAACTTTCTTTTTGGTCTCTTGCAAATTTTCTGTACAGTGCACCCAGACCGAGGTATTTAAAAGAAAACATAAAAATGTCATAATTTGACAGGATTTTCCAATATGGCGGCCAAATCCGGGATCGATAGACCGTGCAAATTTAGTAGAATATTCAACAAAGCAAAACAAAGAGAGTAAGTGTTATTGCAGCTTGCCCCTAATTATTTCCACCTAAAACCACTTGTCCACTGGTCTATAAGAATTTTCATTTAATTAAAGAATTCTAAATTCATAAAAATAAAATAAAAAAAAATAATACTGACTTCGATTTCTACAAGTAAAAGCAAATGCTGTTCTTTATGAATACGGCCTAATATATCCAAATTTTTATAAAATACGAAAACTCAAAATATTTTAACACAGCCAAAGTACAAGTGTAAAATATCTTAAAAGATTTTGATCACCTAGTTATAGGTGATTAAAATATATAGGTATCTTTATTAAGACTTTTTTTGAAAGTATTTTTCAACCTCATTTATAATATGGTCATCAGTTTAATAATTTTCCTTTGTATGAAGCGTCTAAATAATATGATGTGTGAAATTATATTTAAAACCATATTTCTTCTCTCTTCCCAAATACATATATGTGTTTTCTAAAACTCCAACCTATTATAACCTCACCTCAAATGATCTAAATATTTGGCTTTCTCCATGGATACAACTGACGACCGCAAGCTGCTGTTCCTTTAATTTGGATGTAAGCATTCAGAATGTTAAAATTAGTGGTAAGAATTTTTAGTTAGTAGAAAAAGCTATCAAACTTTTAACTTTTTCACTAATTATACTTCAAAATTTGCGAGGAATGTCATTTTGGCTTTTGATTATCATCCAAGTCAAGAGAAAATGTGGTTAGAAATCAAAAGTTTATTGTTTTATAAGCTAAATGTTAGTCTTTCTCTATGGATACAACTGGCTAACGCAATTAATTTTAATAATAATTGTGATTTTTAGATTTTGTGAATGATCGTAAACTAAAAAGTATAAAGTGTAATTGAAACTAATTTATTCCACTAATTGCCAGGTTCTGAACGACGCTTAACTATTCATAGTTTAAAATCCTTAATTAAATGGTATTTTTTTAATTTTTTAGGTATACTCATAGCCAAAAAATCCATCTTCAGGAGACTGAACGCCTGCGAACCTGACGGATTCTTCGCGTCTAACGAGCACGACAGAGTAAGTGAAAATCGATTCGGAAACCATTAGCGCATAGGTTTCCTTTATTTTTCTTTCGGCCGAGATAATTATTTTTGAATAGAATACTGTTGTTTTTGTGGCTAGGGCTGGTTGCTTTCATTTTCAGGATAATTTGTTTATTTTCACAAGAGAAGGTAATCGCTTTCGAAGCATTTTAAATAACTTCGTGACGGGGATTAATTGCGTTTTGATTGTTTGGAAAATTGTTTTTCTATGTTTTTCAGGCCGTTGAACTTTATGAAATACGTATGATTTTAGGTAGTTTATTATACAGGGTGTTTCAAAAAACAGTTGCCATCTCTCATGCCTCACGTAAAAATAAGATTGATTTTTCATATCAACGTAGGTCCAATTCCGCTTTGTTTCGTAGCTACAGGGTGTTAAGTCTTAATATTTTTTCGATTTATTATAATTTCCTTCCAAGTACTTTTAGCTTTTCGAATGAAATTTTGAGGGTAAAAGTTACTATAAATTCGACATATTTTTGGCTAAAAAAGTGTCAACATATTCACCAGGGACGTGCATATGGGTTATCACTGGAATATTTTTCTAAAAAAGCATGTACGGCACTGACTTTTTTTCTCTTCTTAGCGAAATAGTGTAAGCAGTTTAATGCCGATTAAAAGTTGTCTCTTTATATTTTGTCGATTTCGGCCTCCTTGATGAGATAAACGCAATTTTATTTATTTGCCTTGATCCAAGTCTAAGCAAACTTTAAAAAAAAATAATATCATTAACTTGCGAAAATTTTAAGTAATTATTAATTGATTCCTCATCAAAAAATATGAAAAAAAGGTCCTATAAACATAGGCATGGAAATGCATAGTTTTAGAGTTACAAAATGTTAAAATTGTTTTTTGTAATTATTTTAAATACCATTATTTTTTATTTGATATTGCTCTAGTTTCGACTAATAGTAATAATACTGTTACTATTATTATAATAATATTTTATAATAAATTAGGTAAAATATATAATTTATTAATTTTAATTTTATTTTAATTTTATTAATTGTGATTAATAATAATATAATATAAATTGCGTTTATCTCATCAAGGAGGCCGAATTCAATAAAATATCAAGAGATAACTTTTAATTGGCATTAAACGGCCCATACAATTTTGATATCAAAAGAAAAAAGTCAGTAGTAGCGCACATGTTTTTTTTTGAAAAATATTTCAGTGATAACCCATATGCACGTCCTTGATGAATTTATCGACACTTTTTTAGCATTAAAATACGTAGCACTTATAGTAACTTACCCTTAAAATTTCATTCGAATCATTAAAAGTTCTTGGAAGAAAATTATAATAAATCGAAAGATTATTAAGACTTTAACACCCTGTAGCTACGAAACAAAGCAGAATCGGACCTATGTTAATATGAATAATAAATTTTATTTTTACCTGAGAAATCTCCCCACGAGAGATGGCACATGTTTTATGAAACACCCTGTACAGGCGATACTTTTTAAAAAAATATGCATGGCAGCAGATATAGAACTGGTGGCTAAGAAGACTAAAAATATTTTAACATAAAACGAGGAAAACATAAAACGAGGAAAACATAAAACGAACACATCAGAGTGAATGTACCTAAACGAGCCTAAACCTGTGTTAAAATTCGTGACTGATCACGTGTGCGTTAGGCGTTATAAGCCAGTAAGAGAGGGTTTTAGGGTCCGAATTCTTGAACACCTGCACTGATTGACAAATAAATCACCTATTTTAATTGCAAAAATCAATAAAGGGATGAATTCTACGCAAAAAATGTTTTATAATATTTTTTCAGAAAATAAATATTTTCCTAGTTTAGAATTAGAAATATTGATTTTTCATCTAAAAATTGCATATTTTTAACTCGAAAACCTTGCGTTTTATCGCAAAACTCATATAAAGCAAAAATTAAACTTTTGGAACAACTAAACGATTATTTTTTGTTGATTACCGTAGGTATAATAATAGCTGAGTTGTCACTCTGTAAAGGTGATTTTTTATTTTTCGAAAACTAAAAAAAATAAAATTGCAACCTTTTACCGTAAAATAATGGCGAAAAAAATACATTTTTCGAAGAAAATGAATATGGCCGTTTTTAAAGTGCTTCAAACGACCTTTTAAATACGTTTTTTTATCCTCGCTTACTGGCATATTAGCCCATTTAGTTTGCATTAAAAAACAGTTTTAATCAAAATCGTTTTTGACTTCTCTTTCATTAATTGTACTTAACAGTACCAATTAACTTAACAGTGCCGAATTTTAAGTAAATTCAATCCAGGAAATAATGGTGTCTCTATAATTTTTGCCACTGCTTTTCACCCCCTAAGAATTTGGCTAAAAAAATTATATAGTCTACATTCTAACCGTCATCGTCATATTAAGATTTAAAACAGTGAAAAAAATAGTGATGTAAAAACAATAAATTACTGTATTATATTAACCTATTTCAGATCGTTTTTTTTTCAAATTATTAGACACGGGAGCGTATACATATTATTTAGGTGCAATAAATACTGACAAGTGCAATATAAAAACCAGTTTTATCTAGTTTTCAAAATTTGCTTTAACAACAAACAACGTGTGATTTCGTAAGAAAGGTTGGCGATTAATTTTTTTCTAATGAACGGCTTTAAAAACTAAAACTAACATGGTTTTCCCCTATTCCTTTTTTTTGTAAAAATGATGAGCAGACTTAGCTCCTAATGCATTTGTCCATTTTTTAAGATTTTGAATCAAACGTGGCATTGCAAACTACACTTTACACGACTTAAATGGCAAAAATACCGTAGACTTTCTATGTGCTGTATGTCCATTGGCGGGAGACAAACAAATTTGGTTGTGGATAAACTGCTGTTTGTTTATCATTGCCAGATGAAGAGTTTATTTTTGTACTACAACTTCTCTATTTTTTGAATAATACTACTTAAAATATTGAATGGAACTATACGACTGGGACCATGCACCATGGCTAAAGGACAGTCAACAGTTCTTTTTTTCAATTTTTTCATATATCATCAAAACTAGATTTTTCAAATGTAGGTGTACTATTTTTATGATTTTTTTATCCACTTTTCCTTCCAGTATTTTTTTGCAAGAAATATTGCTATTATACTTGAAAAGTACTAGTGTGTATAGCAGTTTTTCTTTGTTTGCCAAAATTCGAAAAAATGATGGATAAAATGCATATCTAGAAAGTCTACTCCTCAAATGTATTGAAAAAAAAACGACTTCAAAGGTACCAGGGTCCTGACAATTGATGATCACTCTGTCGAGATTATTCCCTATTATTATACCGGGTGCGTCTCAAAAGTGGCTCACTTCTATAACTTCCTTATTTTTTCAGATAAAAAAACAAGATTTGGTATGTTAGTATATGACATAAATTAGGATCGATTGACGTATTTAGTAGTTTTCGATCAATTCCTGTTTCACCGGAAATGACTACAACTTTTGATTTTTAAATGGCACCCTCGGAATTTTTTTACTTTATTCGATAGAAAATGACACTTTGAATAGAATGACGACATGTCAACTGTTGATATTCTCGCTTAAAAAATCGTATTTTAAATTTCAATCTAGGCTGTGTTAACAACACTAATTTTTAATCAAGGAGCCTTGGAATAATAGATTTGATCGTCTAATGCTTTTCGTGTCTTCGGTTAAAAGATGCCTAAATCATATATCATATCTCAATTTTTTTAAATTGAATGATGTGGCTCATTATCATACTTCGAAAAAACATTTTTTACGAATAAATTGATACAACACACTTGGTATTTTGAGTCAAAGTGTCGTTATGAACCGCATGTTACAATTTCAAATAAATTATATGTGAAACAAATCATATGTCAAAAGTTGCTAGTTAAGGCGTATAAGAATAAAGTAAAAAGAACACCGAGGGTGTCATTTAAAAATCAAAAGTTGTAGTAATTTCCGGTGAAACAGAAAGTGACCGAAAACAATTGAATACGTTAATCAATCCTAATTTATTTCATATAGTAACATACCAAATCTCGTTTTTGTATCTGAAAAAATACTTTTTAGACGCACCCGGTATAATCAACTATAGAAAGATTAAATAAGGATAAAACGTTTCCAGACACACAAGTTTATTTACAAAAAATATGTATTTTTTTAAATTTTAAACTTTACCATTTAAAAATAATTTTTACTGAATGTATACAATAATTATAATTACACTTATTAAGGCCTACTACTGCCAGGAAGTGCCATTAAAAAATAAAGTCGAATGACGAACAAGTAAATGAGTCTAGGGCTTGACCTCGTCAAAATTATCATCGATTCAGGTGTCTTTGACGCCGTTTTTTTTCTATTATATCATATTAGAATGGATATTTTTTGAATAGGGTACAGTACTGATTAATTTTAATTTCATTTTCAGGGATTCGAATTGCAGGAAGAAGGAAATTGTGCAGCTGTGGTCGAATCAATTAGATTTGGCCTGATCATGCAGTTGAAGGAGACGGTTTCAGTAGCCAATATCCAGCAGAGATTGGAAAAAATAAATAAGTACGTTAAATTGTGTATTTATTTTACAAAGCGATAGAAAATGATTGAAAATTGAAATAGTTTCTATTAGAAAATTGAATTAGATTTATTAAATTCCTTTACATAAGAATTTAACAATAATTAAAATAAGCAAGGCATACCTATTATAATAACAAAATGTGGTAATTCAACCATTACAGACACATAGATATATAATTTTCCTTAACGATGTTTAAGCAGGTTATGTGGTATATTATTGGCAAATTATTTTTTGATTCGAATGGTTTATATAGCAAATATTTACTTAATTGATAATCATGATTAGCTTACATAGACGCAATCGTTCAGAATGCGGTTAGACAGCTGCAGTACAATGTATTATTACATAACATTTATCGTTTTAAAAAATGTTTAAGTAATCCTTTAAAAATAAGTTTATCCTTTAAAAATAAAAATATTATTCAATTGTCGTATGAAATCATTTTCCAATAAAATTAATTGATCTCTACATCGATCGTATTGGTGTAAGTATATGACAGAATGAATTATTGATATAAAGATACTGACTATATTTGCATTTCAAATATTTATTTATGAATGTATCAAGACCTGTTCAGCATAGCTTGTTATGTAAATAAACCTATCCTGTTCTTAATCTATTTAAATTTCTGTCAACTTTTGATTTTCTGGATAAATTTTGCTAATTGCATTAAATAACACTGTTGTTCAATTTAGATTTGAAATTGTAAGAATATTCTGGTCAAATACTATCAGAAATGAGGATTTATGCAGCTTGACCAACCAGAGGCAGGTGTAAAACCAGATCAAACTTAGGAAATGGAGGTGGATTGGTCACACTTTAACAACATCATTGGCAGAGTTGTAGAATATAGAATGTTTAGGAGGGGAGTTAATCGCCGCGACCTTATAGATCTATTGTGTGTTCCCCTTTCTTGAGTTATAACGAGTTATAACTCATCATACAGTCTCAGGGCTATAACAAAAGCCAATATCTGAGACGGTTCCACAGAGGCCAGCTCTCCATCCTCGACATCAAACGTACCAAAGTTCATAGCACGAATGGTCGTCGTCTCGGCGCACTCAGTGATAAGGTGTTCTGGTGTTTCCCCATTTTCCCCACAAAATCTGCATTCGCCGTTGTTTCTCAGCTTCAGCCTACTGAGGTGTTCGTTGAGGAGACAGTGTCCTGTTAGAAACCCCGTGACAATCCGAAGATTGTTTTTACTTAAATCAAGGAAAACCGATTTTCCTCGGTCGTAAGTTCTGAGGAACTTCTTCGAGTGTCTTAGACCGTTGGAGGACACCCATTCCAAGTTACGGATGGAGTCTTCCAGATTCTTCAGTTCCGCTTTCAGTTGGTTCCCGTTTGGAAAACAGAACAGTTCTGAACCAGTTAGTGGTGTGTTCGCTTCTTTCCTAGCTAGATCATTTGCTTTTTCATTGCCTTCTATCCCTTGGTGAGCAGGCACCCAGAGTAGGAGGACTTTATTTTCTTTGCCTAATTTGTTGAGCTTCTCTAGGAATTCTTTGACCAACTTCGAATTGATGGTTACTGAGTTGATCGCGTTAAGTGCTGCTTGACTATCGGATAGGATGACAATTTCCTGTTTTCGATAGTTCCTATCTACGATAAATTGTACGTATCTTTGGATAGCGTAAATTTCTGCCTGAAGGATACTGGGGTAGGTGCCCATTGGTTCGTAGTATTTAGTTTTCGGCCCAAATACTCCTATCCCTGTCCCTGCTTTGGTTTTGGAAGCATCAGTATACCACGTGATGGTATGGTCTTTTATATGCTGAGTAAGCGTTTCTTTCTTCCAATCCTTTTTATTACTCAATACTACAGTGAGGTGTTTCTCAAAGTTCTAAATTCTTGGTATGTCATCCACTGGGAGTTGGAGATTGGCAGAGTTATTGAGTACTGCTGGACAGTAGAAGAAGTGGTCTTCCAAGACATACATAAAAAGAAAATTTGAGCAGTAAACGAATCATGTCAAATCAATTTCCAACAACCGAACCCGCTGGAGAGCATTTATTGAAGTCCTACGCTCCACGTAGGAGTAAAGAATAAAATGAAAATGATGCTTGTACCCTTGTCTGTTTCCCCAGTGGACGATCCCGGGTTTTACTGCGCTACAGATTATATATTTGAGTAATCCTAGAAATGGCTCTGGATATATAGACGTTCCTCGGTCTAGAGGTTTTCGTCTATTGTTCTGATGTTCCCGTCTATTCCTTCTCTCCAATTCCGCCTAGGTCTCCCTCTCTTTCCTTTTACCTTGTGGTGTCCAATTGAATACTTTCTTTGGTATTCTGCTCTCTTCCATTCTTTGTACGGGCTTGTACCACCTGAGTGGGTTAATTTTTGTGTCGTCTGTCATTCTATGTTTAACGCCCATGATGTTCTCAATTCCCTCATTTCTTACTTTATCCAGTTCCGATTTTCCGGCTGCGTGCCTCCAAAAGTCCATTTCTGTAGCTTCGAGTGACTTAAGGGTTTTTTTTCTTTCAAAGGCCATACTAACATAACTAATGAAGCTTTTAACTATGCTGTTCTAAATTTTGTGCTTGTTTTGTTTTGATACTGCCTTATCCAGTTAAATACTTTTTTTTCGATGAGGAGGGAAAAAATCTTGCATATGACACTCACAGTTGGGTAATGCCGGATTCCTACCGGCTTAAAAAACCCTCCTCCAACTACCACTTACTGGAATCCGCTCTTGCATTGCTTCATTGCAAAGGGTTTCTAGAGATTTACTTCATGACTAATGAAGTCTACCAATAGAATACTGTTGAGTTGTCTAATTGCTTGTCTTCCCTGGTTGTCTCTGTACTTAATTTCTTCATCAAGGCTATTGGTAATGTTGCATGCCAAGATATTTATATTTTTGGCAGTGTTTTATCTCTTGCGGTTGTCGTTCTAGCCATTAAGTTCTGTTGTTCGATCAGTACGTGAAGCTTTGGCGAACAAAAATGGCTTTGGATGAAAACAGCGACTAATTACTATTTTGTTCCATAAAAAATTCTTAAGGCATTAAAATGAGAAATATAGTTTGATTAAATTTATAATTTTTATAGTTGAAATTGATTTATTAAGCATTTTTGTCTAGAAATGTGTCATGCAGATCTGGTTTGTCTCTCATGTGCTGCTTCTAGAACTACATGGGTATTGCGTATTATAATTTTAATCTAAAAATATATTTTAGAATATTTCTCAGTGTATTGAGGTTTGTTTAATTTTTCGTGTAGGTTTCTGATATTTTTGTATTAAAAATTAATTGTGTGAGTAATTTCTTTTCGAGAATATTGTTATTTTGGCTAGACAGCGAGATTTAGGAGTACGTTTTCATTGTATTGACTTATTCTTCAAAATTACATTCGTATTTCATTGTACAAGGAAAACTGCAAATTTTCTAGTGATGCCAAATAAATTTTGAAGGCTAATTTTTTAATAGTAAAAAAGTATGGGATTTATAAATGATTATAATTATTCATTTGTAATTTCAAAAGTGAATTTTCTAGAACTGTCAAGTATTGTTTAAAAATAGTTAGGTATGTAGGTATGTAGATTTCTATGTGTTGGCTATTGGATACTAAATAAGTTCCATAACCATTTTATTGTATCCCCAAAACAAATATGTCATATGTCACCGTTTTTACTAGAACACTTGGCACCGTTGATAGTTGTATTAAAAAATATAAATAAAACAAATTATAATGCCATTACTTTTTCTCCTACTTTCCAAGAAACAAGCCTCTCTATTATGTTTACTTTATTTATGGCAGTAGAAATGTGGTTAGTCTTTATTTAAAAATATACCGGGTGCGTCTCAAAAGTGGCTCACCCCTATAACTTTTTTATTTTTTCAGATACAAAAACTAGATTGGGTATGTTAGTATATGACATAAATCAGGATTAATTGACGTATTCAATTGTTTTTGGTCATTTTCTGTTTCACCGGAAATGAATATAACTTGTGATCTTTAAATGGCACCTCGGTATATTTCTACTTTATTCGATAGAAAATGACACTCTGAATAGAATGACATGTCATATGTCAACTTTTGACATTTTTGTTTAAAAAAAATTGTATTTTAAATTTCAATCTAGAGTGTACTGTGTTAAAAACACTAATTTTTAATTAAGGAGCTTTGGAAAAATAGATTTGATGGTCTATTGTTTTTCGTGTTTTACCTTGGCCGGTTAAAAGATCCCCAAATCGTATTTTTAATCGTATCTCAATTTTTTCAAATCGAACAAGGGTGGCTCATTAGCATATTTGGAAAAAGATTTTTTTTACGAATAATTTGGTACCAAACACTTGGTATTTCGAGTCAAATTGTCGTTATGAACCGCATATTACAATTTAAAATAAATCATATTCGATTATGTCAAAAGTTGACATATGATACGTCATTCTATTCAGAGCGTCATTTTCTATCAAATAAAGTAAAAAAATACCGAGGATGTTATTTAAAAATCAAAAGTTGTAGTTATTTCCGGTGAAACAAGAATTGACCAAATACAATTGAATACGTCAATCAATCCCAATTTATGTCATATATTAATATACGAAATCTCGTTTTTTTATCTGAAAAAATAAAAAAGTTGTAGGAGTGAGCCACTTTTGAGACGCACCCGGTATATAATCATACGTTTTTGAATATAGATACTAAATGAGACATTTTCAATTCTTGAGAATCTACGAAGGCTGTCTTTTATATTTTGCATACAGAGGAATAATTTTTCGAAGTATTCTCTACGAACAGAAACTCATTTTTGCATCCATTGGAACCTGTTCTGAAAGAAGTTATTCCACTCGCTTGTTAGTGCCTTCAAAATTGCGTTTTTGAAGGGGCTGGCTACATCTTATGGGTTCTGGAACTGAACTAATTAGTTCTCATTTTATTCTTAATTTTTGAAAAGTAAAAAGACGTTAGGACTTAGATCGGGACTGTATGGAGGATGGTCGAACAATTTTGTTTTCTTGTTTTAAAAACTCAATTGTTTTTTGAGCTGTGTGAGAACATGTATTGTTTCTTAGGATCACTCGTCGTTGAGGGTTGGTTTTTCGAAATTCAGCAATTACTTCCGACAAACAAATAGATACGTACCAATAAGCAGGAGCAGTTCTTTGATCTTGGAGAGGAATTGTTTCTGCATGACCCGCTTTTGAGACACAACTGTGGCTACTATCTTTTTGGAAACACTTCGAGAATAAGATAACTTTCGTCGGTTTTAGTTCACCTCAGAATTTTCTGTTTAAACAACTGTCTTCGAGAATTGTAAAACTATTGCGCGAAAATTTTCTCGGCTTTATTCCATTTTTCGAATGATTCGTCAATTTGAAAAATTCAATTTATGTACAGCTTTAAACAAAGCGGTCTAAAACTTTGTCGTCAAGTTAACTAAAGATGATAGTTAATTTTGACATTTAATATATATTAACAGGCACCTACTACGTTTCTATATGCAAGATATAAAAGGCAACCGTCCGTCGTATTGAGTGCTAGGCATTTATTAATTGGAGCTTCTAAGCATTGGATCAGAGCGTAACCTAAGTTCTTTTTTTTCATCTTTGATTGATACATTTAGTTATTTAGTTTTGTTTCTTCATGTTCTTCTGTATTGGCCGAGCCTTCTACTATAGCATTTAGCCCACTTTCAATAAATAATGTCATATTGAAAATTAACATCAAAAATTAATGACTGAAAAAATTGCAAATAGTTTGTAGCAAGTTCATTTCTCTCTTAAAAATTAACCAAGGCATGTATTGACATGATCCAAAAACAAAATGCTCAGAAGACATGGTTCTGATTGAAAAACAATGTTTTAAAAAAAATTGCTGGCAAAATGATTGCACAGGGTATTTTAAAGTTAGAGTAAAAAACAACCATTTGATAAACCCTGTATAATAAAGCCCAATACTAAAGTTTATAAAAAAATTAATTTACGTATTAAAGATAAATATATTATATTAAAGTTTTAAAAAAATTAAAGAAAAATATAACGCTTTAAATTTGACGAAAATTTTTTCCGTTTTTTTTTGCATCTCGTATTAACATTGTCCACTTCTTTTTCAGACAAATGTTGCAACACATCCGTACCATTCCAGACATCATTCTCCTGGGGAATCCCAATCCCAGTCTCAAGCGCATCTCCATTTTCTCGTTTATGGTGCGCCATCCGCGCGGCACATTCCTACATCACAATTTCGTTTGTGCCGTGTTGAACGACGTGTTCGGCATCCAGGCACGAGCAGGATGTCCGTGTTCGGGTATTTACGCACAGGAACTGCTGGGAATCGATCAGAGTCTGGCCGATCAGTACGAGAACATTATTTTGGAGGATAGGTGAGTGCAGCAGACTTAAATCTAAAAATAATTGTTTAGACAGTTTTTTTCGGGGTTGGAAACAATCATGATTTTTTTAATTTAAATCAGATTTTTTTGATTTTAATACAAAACAATATTTAAATCGGATTTCCAAATGACTAGGATTTAATTCCAATTAAAGTCCTATTCTAAATGGTTAAATCTTTATAACTCTGCCTTATACCGATAACATTAACAATTCTACGGCGCGTGTCATTTTTCCACATCGGTCACCAATATGTTCCGCAAAAAAATCGTTCGCTTCAGATCAAAACGATTTTTTTTCAAACATCTCAAAGATATTAACTTTGAACTGTCATTTTAACGCCTAGGCATAAAAGTAAAGCACTGTTACGGCTAAGCACAAAAGTACAAAAATATATTATTAAACTGATACTAAGTGTCAAATTCAACGAGTGTACAAATTGTTGCTCGATTACTGTTCATATTTGCAATGTTTGAAACTGATTAAAATATTATTTGTAATGTTTTAAAAGAAATAGTATGTTCTATTGGCAGTAAAAATGTACTTTTTGTGCCTCCCTGTAACGTCGGAATAGCTTTATGATGGTCCTTCAAAGGTACAACATCGTTTAAAAAAGGTTTAATTTTTATTCCTAATAAAACTAGTGTACTTACTGCAGATCAAAATGTCGGTAGGAATTTTGAAACCTACAACCGTTTCAAAAAAAATTAAACATTTCGTTTTCTGACAACGATTATAGATTCTCGGGAATGAAGATATAGGTAGTCTCAATATCAGATGAACTTAGTTCTGCACTAGACTTTGCGAATGATATGTATTCGAACAGCGATTTTTTGTCACTTATACATAAATTTTAAAATAAATCCACAATAGTGAATTACAGAAGTAAATCATACTACACCAAAACAAAAAAATGTTTTTGTGACTTATCCCTGTTAAATCCAACTGTAATTAATTTATTCTATAACGTTCAGTAAAAGTACTTGTAATATTGAAATACATTCTTTCTCTATGCTAGTAACGATCAAACTAAGAAAACCAAAAACAAAACAACAATCAAACTTATATTTTGAAGTTTTAATTTCATCGTTTGGTATTTTTGGGGGCAGGCTGCAGTCACGATTTTGTCGAAATGTTTCATTTGATTTCTGATACTGACCTGCTTTAAAGTCTATAAAAAAATTGACCCTGCTAAGCTGAGAAATGGATGTACGAAATGTACTTAAAATTTGTCTATTTAATAATTAAACGGTATAGTTACAGTTACTGAGATCATAACAAAATAAAAATTAATTATTAAAGTCAAATAATGATCATGATCATATCTAACTGACCTATTGTTAATTATAGTTATTACATGACAATCAATAAAACTCTAAACGTTCCCTAACCCAGTGTGAGTACATAATATTATCAAAGCAAAACCTTTGAAGGCGGATAAAAGCATTAGCAAATTTAAATTAGATAACTTAAAGATTGTGAGTTATTTGTCCTTTTATCCGCCTTCAAAGGTTTTTCTTTGATAATCATTAAAACAATTAACAATTTAAATAGTCTGTTTTTCATAACCTTTTTTTATAACTTTTTTTGACACACCCTGTATTAAAAAAATAGTATATGCCCCTTTACAAACCATGCAACATCTGTATAATTTTTTTCATATTTTCGACGACGACGATATTGGACTTATGGGCCTGGCACTAATGGTATCTATATCACCACCTTGTAACGTATAATAATCTGAAATACTACGGTTTTCTGAAAAAAATAACAAATGTCTTGTAATATACTATAATATCATACAGGAAGCACCGATAAAACGCCGATGACTAATGATATTTATCAAATTTGCAGACCTGCTAAAATTGTTCGTTATCGTAAAAGTATTTGTCCTTCGCTGGATGTGGATAAACAATGTTATTGTTAAGCACGAATATTTTTATGTTATTATTTAGTTAAAATTAATATAGAAATAACGATTTTCTTTGTTTTATGAGAACATTGTCAAAATTCAAAAGTAAACTTTTGGAAAACAGTGGTATTATACCACTGCCACTGAGAAATAAATATGCTATTCTTAAAGCACATAAAATGTTTATAAACGTTTACAAACGTTTATAAACATTTTGCTCGATTATTGCGTAGGTACATCAAATTTACGCAAACGAAAACACGCTCAAATGTTAGCAAAACCGTTTGTCAAAGTTCCGCTAGATGTCGATCGCGATACTTTAAAGGATTTATGTTTATAATTTCTGGGAAAGTTGGAGTTATTGGATGTTATATTGCACCTAAGAACATACATACATACTGCCATTACTCGCTGACGAGTATTCGACACGCATCAAAAGATGGTCACACAAGGCGTTTTCTTTCATGTGCTTTTCTGTTACTGAAGCCCGATACGTGATGTTATTTGCCTACCGCACTCCGGACATTCAAAAATCTCATTGCTTTGTTGTCTCTTTACTTTTTGGTTGTCGCTGTTAACTGAGTTTACAATTCTCCTCCATTGAGTTCTATTGTGAACTGCTTCATCCCAATGATTCTGCATGTTAATCCCCTTTAACCCCTTTAACCCCTTTTCACCCAAGAATGACGTAATTACGTCCCCCTTTACGTGTAACATTTGAAATGGTCACAACACAAAGCGATGCACAGTGATGCAGAAGTTCCCAATAGCGGGAAAAAATCAAAATATCAGAAGTATTTTTTTAATTATAATTTCACTCGTATACTTCCTAATGGTTCAAATTTTCAGAATTGTCAAGATTTTTGAATAAAAACGAGTCCATTATTAATCTCTGATAAGAAATGTTCGAGCTTATAAGATTATTAGCTGAAGCTAAAATATTTTGATTAAAGAAAATTAGTGCGTTTAACGTTGGTAATAAATTAGCTAAAAACTGATGGTACTCTGAGAAAGTATAATGTTTTCAACTATGTTCCCTCATGGTAATTCTAGTTTTGCCTTCCCTCGTACCATAAAAAAAATCAATGAAGACCTTGATGTAATTAAGAACTGCTTAATCTAAAATCACATTTTAGGTAAGCTAATACAAAGTGCTCCAAATTGCTCCAAAAAATATGGTCTAGGTTCAATTATTAGCCTTTTTTATAACTACGAAGTTTCATGACCAGCATTAACCCTCAAATACACTTTAGGTTGCCTAACTCTCCCGAAAACCATGATTTAGTTTCTCAAAATAAATTACGTATGACAGTATATTACTAGGTGTTTCTCAGGTGCTATAAAACATTGTTGTTGACTATTTTTAATTAGTTTTAGAAAGGAAACTGGTAATATATTTTCTCTTATTCAATTTAATTTTCGATATACAAGGTATCCAAATTTAAAAATAAATTTTTAATGTGTAATTTTAACTAGCTTTTCACAGTTAAGCCTAAATTTTTATTCGTTTTGTGCTTATATGACATTACACTTAATATTATTAGAAATCTAATTAATTTTGAATAATTATTGTTAATATAAACTACAAAGATGTGTCAATGTGTCTATGATGCATCAACGTTCAGTCAACAACTTTTATCAAGAATGTCATGCACCTTCTACTAATTTTCTCGGATATAGCATCACTGTGCAACGCCCAGTTCGGGTTCTTTTTCACTTAATTTTTAGTACTCAAAACAGCGTTATACCACATAAACCTCGTAGCTTCTGCCGGGTCCAGACCAAGCAGACAAAACAACGACAAGATAGGAACATTTATGTTTTACGACAAAATTGCGACAAATCCAATACATTTCTGCGACATATTTCTCTCATTTTTGTTTTGTTTCAAAATTCGGAGACTTTTCAGTGTCCCTTCTCGAGTCAGTAAAGATCAGTGTCTATGTTTTGTTCGTATATTTTACGACCAGTTGTCACCGCAGCAGTGTCGATGGCGTGTGCTACCAGTAGTAGACCAGTGAAATCACACATGGTTATTAACACCCATTCACAACAAATAAACATTTGACTTTGTTGTACTTCTGTCCTTGCGATGTGGACAATTTCTCTCAAGTTTGTCTTGAATTCCCCATTTTTTGTTGTCTCAGTTTGTCTTGTTTTTGTCTCAAAATCGTGTTTAATTTTTGTCGCCTTTGTGTGGACCCGGCATTAGTGTTTAATAGTTTCAGTAAAAACTGAATTATTTAAAACCAAAACACTTAAATATTATGAGAAAGCGACTATTTTAATATTATTTCAATGCAGGGTTGGCATGATTTAAATCAAGTGATTTTTTTAATTTTAATCATGTGACTTAAATAAACAAATCATCTTTTTTAAAACTTTACAAATACCCTATATCTAGTCGTTAAATAAAATGTTACATTTGCTATTGTAACGTTTAAATATTTTTAATAAATCGAAAAATAATTGTAAATGTAATAAAACTATATAAAAAATGATTTGTATAACACATATATAGTCTGTCCAACGAGAAGATCCTTGACAGTGATAGATGTGTCTGTCATTTTAATTTCAAAGTAGTTTATTTTATTTTACAAAGAAATAAGTTGGTACAACTGGAACGCATAGCAGGAAATATTTAAAATTTGATTGACAAGATGACAAGTGATTACTTCAAAATATTGTGAAAAAACTGTATAAAACTGAAAAATGTAATCGAGTTATTTTATTTAATAAAACCGGTATGTGTTAATACAAAACAAACAAGAAAAAGACACTACATACCAAAAAATATATAAAAAAAGAACTATTTTTACTTTCAAGTTTTATGAAACTATCCGCATTTATGATTATATTTATCAATATAACTTATGTACAAATACAAATTTGTAATATTCCACAGGAATAAATAAAACAACATAGGTAAATAAAACAAACTATTTTATTAATAATAACACCTACCAAATTCTATACCTTAAAGGTTGATTAATTAACTTTAATCTTAATTTTTTTAAACCAGTACCTCTTGACATTATTTTTCTGCAGTACTAAAATCCATTATTTACCTATCGTGTGATGTCGATATTTTTCAGCTACTCCAGTTTTTAGTATGTGTTTAGTTTGATCCTTCTACCATATACGAGATGGCACTTATCTACGACGAGATGGTATACAAACTTTAACGATGGGGTGTATAAGACTTTCTGCCTGGGCAGCGAGTATTAACCATAAACTGTGCTCTGGGTCTACAGTTAATTTTCACTCGATTTTTCCTCCACTTGACTTCAAAAGACACAAAACACACGTAATAATACGAATGAAAATGCATCATCTTCCAAAACGCAGGGTATTTAACAAAAGTTGACACAAAATTATAACCTATAATTTGGCAAGACTTTGACAAGCGTCAAAAATGACAAAAATCTAAAGGCGAGTTCATACCCATCGGCGTCCGTTTATCGTTCATCGTTCCGTCAAACCAATAAAATTGAAATACGATCTGTCATTTTTTAAATAAACCAATAAAACTTGTTAAAAACATCAAGACACGACGCATGACGGATTTATATTTAAACCCATCCATAGATAACTTAAAAATTATTAGAAACTTTTTTTAGTAAAATAAATAGATTGGTATGGGACGTCATCTGCTTTTCTTCTGTCATCGTCTGTCGAAATCTTACCTGAGAAAAAAAAACAGAGCTACATATTCTATTCATCAATTAAAATGTTGGACCGATTTTTGAAGTAATTTCGTGTGAATTCATTAGACTTCTAAAGGGTAGGGATTTATTTTGAAATTTATATACAAGTGAGTAAGAAGTGACAAAAAAACGCTGTTCTAATATATTTCATTCGCAACCTCTAGTGCAGAAAAAGGGGTTCTTTTGATGTTAGACTCACTGGCGGACAAAGGGGGGGCGGTCTGCCCCGGGCCCCGTGTTTTAGGGGCCTCCGAATCTTCATAAGTAATTTTTTATTCAACTGGCAAACAAGACCAATATGTGTTCAGTAGTTAGCAGTTTGTAGGTGGAGTATGCAAACCATACGTATGTATACGCCAACTATAAACAGTATAAATGTAAGCAGATATTTACTTAATTATCAATTATCAGGCCCCAGTAATTGTCAATGGCATTTTCTATTTAGGGAGTTAAATCAAGGGGTAATGTTCTTAGGGGCTAATTTTTTTTTCAAATGGAAACCCACTTTTTTATTTCACTAGTGAAAAGGTTTTCCAATTCGTTCCGTTTTAACTAGACATATTCCTATACCTAAAATAAATCGTTTTTAAGTTATTTAAGATTTAGTTTGAAAACGCATATTTTTCTTGATTTTATCTAGCTTCCTTTGACATTAAGTGTCAAACAGTCAGACAATTTATTTCCATCTGTCAGAAAATTAATTATTTGAATTTCCTATATTATAACTACTGCTGCCTTAAAAGTTTAAAAAGTGTATTTATATAAATATATCTCGTATTTTCGTTCTTTAGTGATATCTAATAGTTGATATTTTAATAATATACCGTACGATCGAAAAAAAACAGCGCAAAGTTGGTTAGCTTGGAAATGATGATCGATTATATACTGTCATAGGTCACTGGTTAAAATCAAGAAAAATATACCATTTAAAGCTAAATCTTAAATAACTTAAAAACGATTTATTTTAGGTACAGGAACATGTATAGTCAAAAAGTAACAAATTTTAAAAACGAAAGTATCGAAAGCCTTTTCACTAGTGAAATAAAAAAAGTACATTTCCCTTTGATAAAAAAATGATTTATGATAATTTTTTAATCGCTCAATTCCATGACAGCTGCGGCAAGTTATTATATGACATTCGGACAATTTAATTTTTGACATAGATAGCCACATGTCTTCTCTTTATGGCACAGTGGCTGTGGTAATCACTAAATTTGACGTTTAGGCTATATACATATTTTTGACAGGTAGTTTTTTTCCCCCAAAAACTATAAGTATTTTTTTTCTCAAAAACGGTTAACGTTAGATAGGTATAGAGTGTTTAATATCAAAATTCATAAAATTTTACAGAGAATTTAAGTATGTAATAAAAAAATGGGGTCACCCATTTAAAATAAGAAAGTTGCTGTCAACTTCCGGTACTTCCGAAAGTTCCGCCATATTGAAAATATTTTTAATCGATAGATCTCATTGTGAAACAATGGCATGCACAAAATCTTGTATCTAGATATTGTAGTTCTCTAGAAACTTCTAACGCAGGCTCAGCGTGAGACATCCTGTATAAATACTTGAATTTTGTCAACCATTATACATACTTACGTCATTCAATTTTTACAAAATGTGCATTAGAAGTATATCATTATCTAAACAGACCGGGGGCCACATTTAGCTTTGCCTCCCCGTGAGGGCCCCCGACAGGCTTTAGACCGCCACTGGTTAGACTATATGTTCAAATGGTGAGAAAATATGCTGTTATACGTCTTTTTTGAACTTCTGCCTTCATCAATTTATCTTCTAGTTCTTTCCAAATTTCTACCGACATTTCGACCTGCAGTATTTTACAATTTGACAATAAATAATACTAATTTCATTCCCGATTTAAGACTATTTCCGAACAATATAGTGTATTGTGTAATGTGTGAAAATTAAACTTTATTTGACGAGGTTGTATACGTTTGACAGACTAGCGTAAACAGGAAGGCACAAAAGTACATTTTTACTCCGAAAAGAATATAGATACTATATTTTTTCAAACATTACAAATAATTTTTTCATCAATTTCAAACGTTGCAAATAATATAAAAAGTAATACCTTGTAAGTAATCGAGTAACAATTTGTAGACTCGTTGAAATTGACGCTTAATATCAGTTTAATAATATATTTTTGTACTTTTATCTTAAGCTTAGAAATGAGAAAAATTAATACTCTTGTGACATTTCAAAAAAAAATCCTTTTGATCTGAAGCGAGCGACTTTTTTTGCGGAATATATTGGTGACCGATGAGGGAAAATGACACGCGCCGTAGAATTGTTAATGTTATCAGTATTGCCCAGAGTTATGAAGATTTCGCCTTTTAGGATGGGACTTTAAGTTCTAATTATATGCAAAATCCGATTTAAATAATGTTTTCTATTAAAATCACAAAAAAAAATCTGATTTAAATAAAAAAAATCTGTTTTTTTTTATTTTTTTTATGAAAATCGTGATTTTTTCCAACCCTGTTTTAATGCGATCAACATTAGAACTGCGTGAAATACAGAGCCGAAAACTTCTGATTTCGGCCGCATCGAGCGCTGCGGTCTGAATTTTTAAAATCAACTGAAATGTACCAAACCTATAAGTTGTAATTCAGTTCTTAACACCAAAGAATGTTTCTATATCAACTTTTCCTCTCTAGGAGACTATCAAGTCTTAACTTAGGAGTAGAAAACTCGTCGCTGGAATTACTGAGGCCCGGTTTCACCCGCATTTGTCTTCCATATTTTATAAACGATGCGGAACTGGCGTTCGTAATGGAGGCGGTCAAAATGGTGGCCACAGAGGGATGGAAACTGCTTCCACAGTATATCGTTGATCTCGACACAGGAGAATGGAGACATCATACCAATACCATACAGAGAGATAGAAATAGGCTTTCAGCAGTGAGGTATGTCTACGTGTAATCAAATAGAAATTATGTTTTTGAAATTATGATATAGAGTATGATATAATGAAGTACGTATTTTTCAAATCAAAATAAGCTAATTGGACACGTTTCATTTTATACAAAAATGCGTCTTTGGTCCGTTAGAAAGCATTAAATTTTAAAAAAGCCAAACATTAGTTAATTAAAAATGTATTATGCTTATTGTCATAAATAATTTGTGACTCTGACAATAATTCTATTTCCACCCACCTGAATATTATCGCCCATTTGATTTTAACACTAAATATGCTAAGCAATATTTTTGTGACTCTAAAGCTTGATTTTCATGCATCCTTTGTCCGACGATACGATGATACGATATTAATTTTATAATTATATATACTACGATATTAATTTTAGAATTATCGTATCGTCGGACAACGGATGCATGAAAATCAAGCTTAACACAGTTTCATTTTTTTAAACTGATAATTGATTAAATAATTGAAGACTTGAAGTAAATAATAAGTGCCAAAAAATTGGTTTGTCATGTTTTATATGTAAAATGTCCAAAAGCTTCATTCAGAACCTCGCAATTAGTGGAACAAATTAGTGGTTTCAATTGGCTTAGAAGTTTCTTCCCCTAATTTGAATGTAAGCATTCAAAACGTTAAAATTACTGTTAGGAATTTTCAGTTAGTGGAAAAAGTTACCACATTTTTAACTTTTCCACTAATTTTACTTCAAAATTTGCGAGAAATGTCATTTTGATCTTTGATTATCTTCCGCCAAGAGAAATTATTGGGGTTATAAATCAAATGTTTGTTTTATAAGCTAAATATTAGGCTTTCTCTATGAATACAACTGACTAACGCAAGCTGTTGATAGTATAGTCTATTAATTTTAATTGTTTTTCAAATATTGTGAATGATCTTAAACTAAAAAGTATAAAATATAATTGAAACCACTAATTTATTTCACTAATTGCGAGGTTCTGAGTCCATTACCAACAACATGGACTAAAATGCCACGAGTATTAATTGTATTGAAATAAATTCTCGTCTGGTTCTTATACATTGGTTATGTAATAAAAAATGTTGTTTATCTCGAAATAATGATTTTGGCACATAGAAAATGATTTACTTGGAAGTCTTCAATTTACAAAAATATATGATCGACAGATAAATATTATCTACTAGTTATTATTTAAGTTTTTTTAGTAATTTAAATATGAAATACATAGTATATATAGTAAAACAAATTGGAAATAAAAGTAGTTTTACTATAGGATCTAACTATTATTTTGAATTTATTGTAATATAGTTCGGCAGCATATTCTGCAGATAAAAATAAGTAAAACAGTTTATATAATATGTAAGTGCTTATATAGTTTTGGAGATACAGGGTGCAGAAGTTTCATTTTTATTTCGATTTTTTCCAAATAATTTATGAAGTAACGTCAATATTTGGATGGAAATTGGTGTCTGCAAGTTTTCTGATATGAGAAATTTGATTTTGATGCCAATATGGCTCCTATTTGTAGGGGGCGCCAGGCGCCACGTACGTGTGTTTTAACATTTTAACTGTTTTGAAGAGTAACGAGTAATGTGTGAAAACTACTGAGTGAAAAAATATACATTTTCGTGATTTTTTACGTAAAAAGTGTCTCTTGGTAAAAATCACTACGAGCAGTACATGCGAGCGTCCTCAGTACATGTCATTATTGACAAAAAATAAACATGTTGAATAGGTATATATAGTTAATTCTTCGTTCTAGAGTAGATATAGTTATTATGTCAGTTTGTTGTTGACTGAAATTATAAATTTGGGAATTTCTTACTTTTTAAATTAAGTTTTTCTTCGAAAATATAATGATAAAACAGTTTCTGTTTAACTTTTGGCTCAAAAACATTTCAAATTTATGATTTCAGCTTAATAAGTATTTGATGATAGGTTCTGATCATTTCGATTCCAAAAAATATTTCGAGAACCATTTGATTACTCGTAGCGATTTTTACCAAGAGACTTTTTTTTACGTAAAAAACAACGTCGCAAATGTATATTTTTTACACAGTAGTTTTATACTGGTACGGACGAATAGATATTACTCTTCAAACCAATTAAAAAATATGTAGGTAACGCCCTCTACAAGTAGGAGCCATATTGACATCAAAATCAAATTTCTCATGTCAAAAAACTCCCTAACACCAATTTTCGTTCAAATATTGACGTTACTTCAGAAATTATTTGGATAAAATCGAATTAAAAATGAAACTTCTACACCCTACATACCATTTTAGGACATATATTTATACGAACTTTTTTACTTATTTTTATCTGCAGAATATGCTGTCGAGGTTTCCGGAATACAGTTCGGACCACCCTGTATATACAGACATGTATGGAAAATAGTTTTTTCTTTGTTTAGATACGTTGATGGCAAAATGACAATGCACGAGCGCAGAATATCCGGCCCCGGACTATTTCCTCAAAGTCACTCCGAGTGCTTACAAACGGCCAGAAACTTATTCAACAAAGCTCGAAAAACGGCCAACAGAATTCCTTATCCGGACCAAGGAATTGTATTCGACTCTCGAGGAGAGAAACTCAGGTTTGTTTGCCCCTATAATCTCAGAAAGTATCTATTTCTCTACGTTTATCTGTTTCGCTACTGTTTAGGTGGTTTATGATGCCGCACGAAGCACAGTCTCTCTTAACTAGCAACGCGCAAAATGTCAAACAAAAGGTGCCGTTCGCTCCTGGAGCGAGCAATGGCTCGAAGAAGGGCGAAAAACATACTGATGAGCATCAACATGTTGTTTCTCAATCTCACCATTCTCACAATTTATCCAGTGGTGGCTCACCCCGTCATTACAGGTAAGCAAATGTAGCTATCTAGTTATAAATAATAATTATTATAAGTTTCAACATTATTTCAAAATTTATGTTACATTGAAATGAAAGAGTGCCAAATAATCCATGACATTTTAAATACATATGGCTTTCTTAAGAAATATTTTTGATAATACTGTGATAATAGTTAAAGATAAAAAATGTCTATACCTATATGGCATATTTTATTATATACCTATGTTTTCTTGCAGTGCAGTGGAGAAATAACCCATAAAGGTTTTTTTTAGTTAGAGATATAATATTTTTTTATATACAGGGTGTCCCACTTAAGATGGATACAAGCCAATATCTTGGTTGTTTGTTTTAATAATATATTTTCTTTTTATAAGTTATAAATCATAACAGGATTGAATACCATGCCAACTAAGTAAGATAAGTCAAGAAAGATAAGAATTAGCCAAAAAAAGTTGGACCCATAATCCTACACGCTTTTCTTCAATTGAAAAATTCATACATACGATTTTTGTTAACTTTAATTTACAAAGTGTGGATGTGACACTTTCACATTTCTGAGAGCAACGACGATTGCCCTTGTTTCCATGGCTAATTATGTGAAATTGTTTAAAAATTATAAGAATTGACTATAACTCAGTAATTTTTCGAAAAAGAAAACATATTATACCTTATATCACCGAAAAGCTTAAAAAATGGCGCTTTTTATGAAGTTATAGCCAACTATGGTTTCCATTTAAAAAACATATGTTTGTGTCATATGTCAAAAATGACAGACTTTAGAAAAAATCGGAGAACACAAACTCATTAGGGATGGGATTATCTAGAACTTTTATCTGAAAACTTTTTGTCTAAAATAGATTATAGTGGAATTAGAGTCAATTTTTAAAATAGCCAAAATTTGTTTTCTTCAAAATATCTAGTAAACCATGAATTTTTTAAAAAATCTGAAAGGCGCATATTTATGACCCCACAAAACTGCAATTCTTTCCCCATTTAACCGACTCTCTATCTCCACTAGTTTCTGAGATACCCATAGAGAACATCGTAGGAAACTCACTCTGTATATTAATAGATCGCAATATATTATTTAAAATCAAAGATTTGATTATGGTATTTTTCCAGTTTACCATCAATTGATGATCCAAAAGTCCTGACATGTTCATCTCCAGTGCCATATTTTCTGCAAGACGTCAACGGTTTATACTATCCTCATATATCCCAGCCCTCAGTTAATTTTGCTGTAGGCGAAACAGTCAGCTCGACAAGCTTGCTGCAACAACAAAATTTTGCCCGAGATAGGTGAGTTTTATTGAGATGATTTATTATATATTTGTCACTAAATTAGCAGCAAATATTTTCTGGTCTATTTGTCAATTAAGTGCCAATTTCTTCCTTGTTCCAAAAAAATTGGTTTGTCTATTGAGCTTAACAGCTAATTTACAAATTATTATTTTTCGATATAAAACGATAAAAAAAACTAAAAAATATCAATCAGGCATGAAATAAAAGTTCAATAACTGGAATATTAAAATTTAAAAATATGTCCATTTTACTAAAAATAACTTATTTATATTGCGGAGTTCCGGTGAAATTTCCTTCCCTGAAACGTATCATTATTATTCTCAAATTTTTTAGAGTGTCTAAGTTTGGGCCACCCGAACGTCTCACCTCCTGTTCTGAGCCCTCAAACTCGAGTCAGTTTAGGAATGGGAGGCTTAAGACAGCGTCAGTTTAGCTACAGCAGTCAAAACGAACTGCACTCGTTGGATTCGGAATCCAACTTGTCACCTACACATAGTCTGAACATGTTATCTTCTAGCACATTGGATTGTAGTCAGGTAGCTTTATTATTTTCTGATCCTCTTGGACATCTTCATTAGTAATTGTCTGTTATAGATTGGTAGGGCATCGCCGGTACCAGATCTTCAAACCTACGTAACTGAAATGACCAAAGAATTAGCAACGAATATTAAATCTGAAATAAGAGAAGTTATCTCGAAGGTGGAGGATGTTTTGGAGAATACTGACAGCGACAGGGATAATTCGTTCTTCTATGAAAGGAATGGTAAGAAAATATATAGGGGACACTTTAATATTGTTACCTAAATACTCTACCGGGTGCGACTCAAAAGTGGCTTACCCCTATAACTTTAACTACCGTTTAGGTAAACGGTGGTTAAACGATGGTATGTTAGTATATGACATAAATTAGGATTGATTGAACGTATTGAATCCTTTTCAGCCACTTCCTGTTTCACCAGAAATGACTACTCCTTTTGATTTTTAAATGATTGCTTAAAACAAAATTGTATTCTAAATTTCAATCTAGGGTGCCATGACTGCGTTAAAAACACTAATTTTAATCAAGGCCCCATAGAAAAAATATATTTGATCGTCTAATGTTTTTAGTGTCTCGTCCTTGCCGGTTAAATGATGCCTAAATCGTATTTTTAATCATATCTCAATTTTTTCAAAAGGAGCAAGGGTGGCTCATTAGCCTATTTGAGAAAAGCATTTTTTTACGAATAATTTGGTATATTTTGTAACATAGATATTTCGATGAAAATTGGTGTCTGAGTGTTTTTTGACACACCAACATAATATGACTACATGACTTTTGACAAACCAATATAACTTTAGCTATAAACGTGTGGGGGCGCCACCTACACGTTTTAACTGCTTTGAAGGGTTATACATTTTCGTCAGTACCTGTATTTAACTACTGGGTGAAAAAATATACATTTCCGCCATTTTTTTTACGGAAAAAATATCTCTTGGTAAAAATCGCTACGAGCTCAAGATATTACGAATAGGAGTTATCAATAATGCGTGTCATCATTGACAAAAAATAAACATGTTGGCTATAGACAGTTATTTGACTAAAATGATAAATTTGAATTTTTTTATATTCTAATTTTATCTACAAAAAATTATGATAAAACAGTTTCTGTTGAATCTTTCACACAATAACCAATTAATAATAAAATAATTTCCAAATTCATTATTTCCAAATTCATTCATTTTTCTTTTTATTATTGTCAATAATGACATGTATTAATCATTTCGATTCCAAATATTTTGAGAACCAATACTCATAGCCAATTTGTACCAAGAGACCTTTTTAGCCGACCATACCAATAGGTATGGTAGGCCATTAAGATCGGCAAAAAAAAAGTTTTAATTTTTTTAATTTCACTCAAAATGAGTTATTTGGGTCATAAATGACCTAAACACAAAATATTTTCATGGTGTCTGTCTGTCTGTCCGTCTGTAACACGATAACTCCAAAACCGCTAGTTTTCTTTCGTGACCGGGACAATTACTTTTTAAAAAAGAGACTTGATCAGTTTATTAATATGTTTGGTTGAACAGTACTAACAAAAAGATGAGAAAATATAAATGTAACTTGTATTTATAAGCTTCTACTGCTGAGGTAGCAGTGACGTCAAAGGCGGGTGACGTACCCAGCGTGGATATACCCTACGTGGATATAATTCCTCCCTCACAAGTGGAAAATTCTGGGGTTCGGTGCAGGATTTTCCTAGAGTGGAATTTCTTCTTTTTCTTCTAAAATTCTTCTTTTAAATTTGTTAAATATCTGACATTTATACAATATATAAATTAAAACAAATATAAATAAGACATACATTATAATAACCCAAATATTAATACTAGTTTCAAAAATAAATGGTTTAATCGATTCTAAATCATTTTCTATATTTCTAATAGGATATATATTATTTAAATCAATAGAATCTATATTTAATGGTTTTAATTTATTTATAGATTTTTCTGACATCTTTGTAAAATTTAATTTTGGCAATTGAATATTTTTATAATTAAATTTCGTATCACCTAAATTTTTAATCATTACATCATCGATTTTTATTTCGCAATCAGAATTTAATTCAATAATGTAACTTCCTAATAAAGGTATATTTTCATGATTACTTTGACAATACTGAACTGCAATAGTTTGTTTAGGACATATAACTATCCATTTATTTTGTTCAATTTTTTGAACTTTATTTTCTAAAATTTCAACAGGTGTTAAATGACAATTAGAAATAAATTTATTATATTTTAAAAGTTCAATTTCACATGGATTATTTTTAGATATCTTAACTATATTAGAGTCTTTGCAGATAAATTCACTTGGAGTCACTTCTTCACATTTATTGTCCAGAAACGCGTAATTCTGTTCATTAAATATTAAGTATTTTGTATTAGGTATTATTATATTTAGGGAATTATTATTTTTTACAGGAAATGGGTAAAGATGATATAAATTATAACTATCATTTTCCACAATAGGTATTTCTAAAATAACAAATATTTTATTTGCCTCACTATAACTTTTAATATTTATAGTTTTTTCAAAAAGTATTAAATTTATATGTTCAGGTTTAAAAGGTAGTTTAGAGTTCTTTAAATACTGTGAAACAGAATTTATTTCTTTGAACAATTCATCACTCTGAACAATAGAATTGTGAAATACGTTTATCTTGTAATAGTAATAGTACTGTGTACTGTGTACTATTGTAATGTACTGTGTACTGTGTAATAGTACTGTTCAACCAAACATATTAATAAACTGATCAAGTCTCTGTGTTGTTTTTTAAAAAGTAATTGTGTCGGTCACGAAAGAAAACTGGCGCAGTCGGTAGGATTTGCCAAGCCATCTAACAAAAATCGTAGTTGGTGCCCGTTACGCGGATTAAATTGGTAAAACCCAAAAAACGGACGGATCGAGACAGTGAAAAGCAAGAAACAGCCCAAAGACACCGTTGGAATAGAGGACAAGCATCGCCGAAAGTCCAACACCTGGCAAAGGACAAGCATCGCCGAAACCAGCTTAGAATAAGGACCTGGTCGAGGACAAACATAGCCAACACCAGTTAGGTTAAGAAGAAACGAAAAACGAAGCAACGAAAAACGGAAACCACCGAAACCATCACCCGAAAAACGAAACCATCACCCGAAAAACGAAATCCTACCGACTGCGCCAGTTTTCTTTCGTGACCGGGACAATTACTTTTTAAAAAACAACACAGAGACTTAATCAGTTTATTAATATGTTTGGTTGAACAGTACTAACAAAAAGATGAGAAAATATAAATGTAACTTATATTTATAAGCTTCTACTGCTGAGGTAGCAGTGACGTCAAAGGCGGGTGACGTACCCAGCTACGTGGATATAATTCGCTAAACCGATTTTAACTAAAAAATTGAGAAGTTTCTTTACTTTGATACTAAAAGAACTGCCTACCAACTTTTTATTAACATATTTTAGTATGGGCGGCTATACGTGCCTCCCGGCGCCAGTTTTTTACTTAAAAAACACACAGGATGTATATTTTTTACTCAATAGTATAATACAGGTACGGACGAAAATTTATTACTCTTCAAACCAGTTAACAAAATGTAGGTGGCGCTCTTGGGTGGTGCTCCCTACAAGTAGGAGTCATATTGACAACCCGGTAAAAATACTTAGACACCAATTTTCATCCAAATATTGACCTGAGTTCAGAAATTATTTTAAGAAAATCGAAATAAAAATTTCTACCCCCCTTCTACACCCTGTATTTCCGAAACGAAGCATTTAGGGCATATTATCTACTATAATAATTTCTGAACTATATGCGAACTTTTTCACTATTTTTATCTGCAGAATATACGATGCCGAAGTTTCCCGAATACAATTCGGACCACTCTGATGTATAATTCTTGAATATACAGATTTCTAAAATTTTTAATCAATGTCAATTTTTACTTAATTTTGAAATTCTGAATAATTTTTCGTTTTGATATTTTCGTTATCTAAGCCCTTTTTGCACCATTAATCATATATTAATACTGATATTTTTTAATAGGTAGTGGTAGCGAGGACGGTAGAAGCGATTCCATTTCTTCCAACGCCGTTGCCGAGTACTTGGAAAAAATCTCGATCGAGATGGCCAACGAGGTCAAGTCCGAGATCCGGGACGTGGTCAGTGCAGTGGACGTTTTTATCACTCCCGACAACAATCAGTTAACGTACACCCGATCTAGCCTCTCCTCCGACCCCAAACTGATTCCTTTCGAGCACGAAACCAGTCCGGATGAGAACTACACGCCCGGAAGTAGCAGCGACACCGTTATCAACCTAATAAGCTCATCTTCTAACAAACTGAAATCATCGGAGGAAGACCAGCAGGACAGCGGGAAGAACAAAAATAAAATCTTGTCTACCTCCACTGCGGCTAGTATAAGTTCGCAGGATAGCGGTATAAACATGTCCTTCCAAGAGCACGAACATTTTCCGTCTTGTAGTGTTGGAGAACTTAAGACCAGGAGCAATTCGGATTCGAGATCGGGTCATCGGAAATCGGAGTCGGAGATTAAGTATTCCACGTTGCAGAAACATAAACCGCCAATTCATAGGGATATGAGCGACGATAGGAATACGTTGGAACATCTGGCTGCCCGGAGATGGAACTGCCCGGAAAAGAATTTGTGGAATCCTGTAATGGACGCGATAGGCGAATTTAAAATGATTAAAGATGGTAAGTTGAATTTATTATTACTCTTCAGTTATAAGGTGGTCTTTATTAATTATTTGTGGGTATCAAGGAGGGGGGGGGGATATAACGGGTGTGTCTCAAAAGTGGCTCATCTATACTTTTTTTAAATTTTTTAGATAAAAAAAACGAGATTTGGTATGTTAGTTTATGACATACATTAGGATTGATTGACGTATTCAATTGTTTTTGGTCACTTCCTCTTTCACCGAAAATGACTACAACTTTTGATTTTTAAATGGTACCCCGGTATATTTTTGCTTTATTCGATAGAAAATGACACTCTGAATAGAATGACATATATGTCAAATTTTGACATTTTGACTTAAAAAAATATTGTACATCAATCTAGAGTGTCATGACTGTGTTAAAAACAATAATTTTTAATCATGAAGCCTTGGAAAAATATATTTCATCGTCTTCATAATGTTTTTCGTGTCTTGTCCTGGGCGGTTAAAAGATACCCAAATCGTAAATCGTATTTTTAATCATATCTCAAATGTTTCAAAACGAACAACCATTTTTTTTTGGTACCACACACTTGGTATTTCGAGCCAAATTAATTTTCGTTATGAACAGCATGTTACAATTTCAAACAAACCAGATGCGAAAATGTCAATAGTTGACGTATGATAGGTCATTTTCTATCGAATAAAGTAAAAAAAAAATATCGAGGGGCTATTTAAAAATCAAAAGTTGTAGTCATTTCCGGTGACACAGGAAGTGACCAAAAACAATTGAATACCGTCAATCACTCCTAATTTATATCATATACTAACATACCAAATTTCGTTTTTTTATTTGAACGAATAAAAAAGTTATAGGTCTGAGCCTCTTTTGAGACGACCCGGTATATCGAAAATGTGGTGCGCGTAAATTATGGTGCGCACTAGGATGCGCAGTTTAAATTTCGCATGACGAGCTACTGAACTTCTGTGTGCAAGTAGAGTGGCTAAATCAGAGCGAAGTTGAAAAATATTTCTACTAGAATTTGTGTAGAGTTGCGTAGTTGTTATCCTTCCTCTGTAATTTTTTTTTTTTTTTGTGAAAATCAAATGTCAAAGTGTTTAGCAGAAATCCAAACCTAGGCAGAATATCGGTTTTTAAAATATCTTAAAACATGATATATTTAAAGTTTGATGTCCATTTAACGCACAAAAAACAGAGATAAATTGTGCCGAATGAACTTATTTTGATTCGAAAAATACGTAGTTATTCTATGTCCATGACATATGGGGACACTCTGTATATGAGTACCCTATTTACAAATATTAACCAAAAAGTGTTTAACTTGTTTCACTCATCATACAAGCGGTTTTCCATAACACGGGAGTACTTCGTAATTGGGAAAAAGTTTCAGTATTAAGGCACTGAAACATAAATCTAAAAAGTTATTTAATTAATATACAATGTATTATTGTGATTGACAATATAAAAAAGTCATTTTAACGCCTAGGCATGCGTAAAGTACTTTTATCTACAACCGTTTAGTTATAACGTACATCACTATTTTTTTAGTATTTCAGTTACGTTATGAGATTCATAACACTAGTGGTGTTATAACTCTATAACACAACTAGTTTTTATAATAATGAAAGAAGGTAAAAATTCTCCACAATTATAATTAAAAAAATGTGACAAATGTCATAGTTAAAGGTGGGCGACTAATAAACGAAAATTAAAACAGTATTTTCTTATTTTTCGGTTGTAGATAAAACGTTGTACATGACACGTGCGTTTAAACTTGATTCCAACACTTGTGTGATTAGAACGTTCTAATCGTTCACACTCGTTGTTGTAATCATGTTCATAAACCCACTTGTACTGTAAATAACTATTACGCCTAAGCACAAGGGTACGAAAATATATTATTAATTGACATATGACTTACCAGGAATTACTTTAAAATCTTTTTTATATTATTTGGAACGTTTGAAATAATTTAAAAAAGTAATTTTTACTCCCCAACAAAAAGTCATTTTTACTCCGAATAGAACATATTCGGAGTAAAAATTACTTTTTGTGCCTCGCCTGTACGTCAACGTACAGCATCGCTACAAAAAGTATCGTTTTTACTCAGAATAAAACCATATACTATTTGCATGTTCTAGAATTCAAATGGAAACCAGTTTGTCAATAGAGAACAACGGCATACGGTCGAGTCGGCTGCTTCTGGCACGTATACGTAGACGTAAAGAATCTTTTACGTGTATAAAAAATAAAAAATAGAAGAAATGCGCATCCGTACGTAAACGTTTACGTGTTTGTAGGCCGACTCGACCGTATGCCGTTGTTCTCTAATGACTTTTGAGTCTAATGTTAATGTTCTAATATAAAATTCCCCAAATTTATTTAAAGCGTTAATTTTTCAGCCATAATATCAATGAACTAAATAAATATTATATTTTTTACAGGTGATAAAGTGATGGTGTGTCTCTCTGGCGGTATAGACTCCTTAAGCCTGCTTCACACGTTACTTCAATTCCAAAGCCACGTACAGAAAAAGGGAGTATTGTTTAGCATCGGAGCGGTTACGGTTGATCCAGATGCGTCGGGATGCGATCCGTGCGTTCTCATTCCGCATTTAAAAACTTTAGGTGTTCATTACATTATTGACGATAAGAAAAGTGATCCTGGAGTTCACACAGGTAAAGGAACTTAACTTACTGTACAAAATTAGTTTTTCCTTTATGACGTAGTCAAATCTTGTTGGAATAATTATATTGGATTAATTAAGTCTGTGGTCAAATCAAACTGTATAGTGGCTTGGTGCATTATAAACGGTTTTTTCAAATTTCTAAAGAAATCAGTCCAACTGTCGGTCAAATTTATTTCACACTATCCCGTTTACCGTTCATGTTGATTGCAATGAAATAATATTGGAATCGTTGTTATAAAAAACTATAAACTGCTCATGTATAGTTCATATCAAATAAAATTTTAATTACATGATTAAGCTTGACCGGCAGACATATTTTCTTTTAATCAAAATATTTTAAGAAACAAAAATTAATTACAAATATAACTATAAAATATTATTTGGATATTAAGACGCAGTTTTCATTGTAGAGTTATACTACTTTTAAACATTATTAAAATATAGTATTATTAAAATATACAGACCGGACCACAGTAGTAGTAACATAGGCAAAACCGGACGAATTAGCGTATACCCGTCCGCCGGATAAAAAGCAGGCGAAAAAATGCGATAAAATAAAAATAGGTAGATATGTGATAAGAATGTTTCAGAATTTGTATTTATTCATGTTTTAATAGCCAAAACGAATACATAGATTCTCGCGACAGTTCTCGTGTAAAATTTATTTTTTAAGTAAAATAATGGATGTTTACGAAGTTCGTGAGAAAACTCAAATTGTAAAATGGTATGTCCAAAATAGGTCTTATCGGGATATACAAACAATTTTTCCACAAACTTTTGTAGACAAGCCAATTCCATCTTTACCTACTGTATCAAGAGTTATTAATAATTTTGAAACACATGGGTGCGTGTTCCCACAAAAACAAAAAAAGCCTGATGTGTTGATTAATGAAGAACAGGAGTTAACGCAAGTGTTCATTTGTGCTACCGCGGATCAAAATCCCACGTTTTCAAGTAATCAAATTGCTGAGGTGGTTGTCCTGCCCACAATGCCCGTATTGTTCACGAATATTTAAACAATACTTTTCCCAACCGTTTAATTAGTGGATATGGAACTATATTGTGGCCCGCTAGATCACCAGATCTTTCTCCCAATGACTTATTTTTGTGAGGTTATGTAAAATTTAAAGTGTATGGTCATAATAGGGCTAATAATTTGGATGAGCTTCAAGTAAAAATACGAGAGGCTTTCCAAACTATTGGCCCTAATATGTTAGCCAATGTTAGACGGGGATTTTACGACCGCCTAGGCTTCTGTCTAGCACAAGGAGATGGTCTTTTTGAACACTTGTTATAATAAAACACCTTTTTTTTATTTAGAGTAATATTTTGGGTTTAGAGAACTTATTTATTTTTAGTTTTGGCTTGTAAACACACTCAAATAATAAATATTTAAGTATTTTCATTTTAAATGTTACCTTAAGTGAAGGTAAACACTTAAAATGAAAATAATAAATACTCGGCACTCCTCGAGTCGTATTCCTAGTCTGTCACGACCGACCCGTCCAAGCACAACTGCAACTGCGTACTGCCTGACCAGCCGACTAGCCGGCAGTGAATCTCGAGTACGAACGCAAAACGGGTAAACGTAAATTCGTCCGGCAACTTGCTATGTTACTAGTAGCTTGGTCTTCTCTGTATACAGGGTGTTTCAAAACAAATGCGAAAAACTTTAGGGGGTGATTCCTTGTTCAAAATAAAGGGTAGTTTGCTTTATAAACGTTGGGTCAAAAGTCAACCATTAGGGAGATATCGTGGTACAAAGATGGCGGAAAAATAATGTTTTTATTTTTTATCTTGAAAACGAGAAGAGATAGACTAATGAAATTTTATGGAAGCATTACTGTTATGAAAACACACTTTCAGGTAATTTTTTACTTTTTAAAATGAGTGGAAGGGGTTGAAATAAACTACCCCTATCATTCTTGTTAACGAAATTTAAAGAAAAATCTTATCAAACACATGCAAATGCCTTAATTTGGATAGTTTACTTTGTTTAGAAACTTTTTTACCTCTTGTGTTTTTTTGATAAAACTCACCGATTGGAAATTAAAAAATAATAAAATGTAAAGCATTACATGTCAGGACAAAAAACATTTTTAGATTTGACATTGAGATTTGATTTATCTAGAATCATCTAGATAATAACGTATTGCAGTAGAGTAATGTCAAATAAAATAATATTAGGAACATCCTAAAAAGTAACAGCGGCCGACTAGATTTTTTCCTAAAAAAATTACAGCAGCCCACTAGATTCTTTATCAGAAAATGTTTTTTGTCCTGACATGTAATGCTTTACATTTTATTTTTTAATTTCAAATCGGTGAGTTTTATCAAAAAAATACAAGAGATAAAAAAGTTTCTAAACAAAGTAAACTATCCAAATTAATTTTTTTGCATGTATTTGATAAGATTTTTCTTTAAATTTCGTTAACAAGAATGATAGGGGTAGTTTATTTCAACCCCTTCCACTCATTTTAAAGAAGAGAAAAAATTACCAGAAAGTGCGTTTTCATAACAGTAATGCTTCCATAAAATTTTATTAGTCTATCTCTTTTCGTTTTCAAGATAAAAAATAAAAACATTATTTTTCCGCCATATTTGTACTACAATATCTCCCTAATGGTTGACTTTTGACCCAATGTTTATAAAGCAAACTAGCCTTTATTTTGAACAAGGAATCAACCCCTGAAGTTTTTCTCATTTGTTTTGAAACACCCTGTATAAAGTTTGATTTCCACTCAACCACCGAGTATTTCACATTGGCGACGAGGATAAAAAAAAATAATCAGTGTTAGTCTCCACTCCTGGAAAGAAGAAAAACATAGTTTGAAGAAAGATTTCAAATCACTGGGTTTGGTTAGTCCATTATCTTTTATACATATTAACTGTTATGGAACTTAACTACATGGCAAACTGGTTGTTAAAATGAAATGTAAAAAGAAACATTTTTTTGCAGAAAAACAAGAGGAAGCTAACGATAATTTATATAGTTTTGGTACTTCTACATTGAGACATCGACTATATTCGGCTGCCAAAAGTTCCGGATACAACGTTCTTGCTATTGGACAACATTTAGACGATCTGTGTGAAAATTTCCTTTTATCCGTTTTTCACCTAGGGAAATTAAGATCGATGCGAGCTCATTATTATATTAAGTAAGTCTTTTTTAAAAACTCGGAAATATTTGCCATTAATACTATCTTTATTTCCTTTTTAGGGAACACGACTTAAGGATAATAAGGCCATTAGTGTACGTTAGGGAGAAAACGTTAAGACAATTTGCCACCAACGAAAACTTGCCAATATCAACTTCCGGCCCAAACCTGTCCAAGGAGAGACAAAGGATAAAGCAGTTGCTGACGCAGCAAGAAATACTCTTTCCTAGGTTATTTTTGAGCCTTAAAAATGCGCTGCATCCACTAATAGGTAAGTCAATTAAGTCAGCAACCCAATAAAAAGATTTTTGAAATTAATTTTACTCTTGTATATAGTTTTTGATTTTTGATTTGATTCTCATAAAAGCATATAAACCAGTAGTGGTATTAAATTAGAGATATAGAGATAGTAAGAATGCGCATGGACGCGTGCAGATATTCCAATCAAGGTAGCCGCCATATGTTTGCAGCAGTGGCGACTCGTCGTTAAATGAGAGAACGATTTATTTTTTGTATCTACCTTTTTATTTATCCCAGTACACTTTTCTCCCTACACACTGTTCGGTTTTTATATGATTCAAAATCTATCTATCTATCTTTATCAACAACACAAATCTTAAATACGTGGACTATTATAACAACAAATACATCGTAAAAGACTATTTTTGTAGCATTCTGAACGAAGATTCAAGTTAAACTTTTTAGAAAATAATTTAAAGGAAAAATGAACCTGCCCGCAGATGCTTGTTCCGAGTAAAATCCTAGAGCTCTATGATTTGCTTTTATAAACTCTGGCACATGATGCAGAATTGCATGAATCTTTGGAGTTATCTTAATACCCAAGTTCAGTATTTCCAATCTAAATTGCTCGATGTCACGTTCAAAATGTTTGTTTAGTTGACCAAAACAACTCGAAACTACTTGATTGAATGCAGAAAACACTGCAATATATTTATTCCTAAAAAAAGATGTTTTTGCTTCTAAAAACTTTGAATAGGATTCTTTACCGGGCGATATCGTCTTCAAAATATCCACTTTCTTTAAAAGTTGTCTGGCGTTATTTCCGTTACATTTTCCATAATGATCTAGTTTCAATCCCGCTTTTTTATCCATTATGTTGCAACATTGGTATTCTCCAATTCAAGACAATCAAATAGTTTTTGAACCACACGGGAATATACTTTAAGACATTGTGTTTCTTCGTCGCTAATGATTATAGGTATGTAAAATTGCCTTTTTTATATGGTTCATTGAACAACAGTTTAAAAAATACAAAAAAAAAATATTTCAAACAAAAACGCTTACTAAAATCTTTGGCTTTTGTTATATTTCCAGATTGTTGCCATAAATTTGTATTTTCTGTAATACTTTTTATAGTTCTGAATGATCCTTTAATTTCCATTTCCTTTACATTTACATCACACCATGGGCAAGTGTGAGTGGATGAATTTGACTGAAGACCAAGGAGAATCATAATAAGCTTAAGGTCAGCGGCAAAAGTATAGGAACAAATTCCACATATGGACTGCAGATCTAACGTCTCAAAGAGGCTTTTAATGTTAGCATAATATTCAGACAACTTTGGTCCTAAGCCAATTATGAATAGTTTATTAATTCCAGCACTTTTATATTTCTTGAAATATTCGGGATCATTTTCAGGGAGCACATTCAGACAAACTTTAAGTGATCCACCACCACTATCAATGCCAATTTTTAGATGAAAATCTTCAGGTAATTCTCTAATTTCCAAAATATATGATAGAAGACCAGATAAATCTGAGTTGTATACAAGAAGTGATCCACCACCACTATCAATGCCAATTTTTAGATGAAAATCTTCAGTAATTCTCTAATTTCCAAAATATATGATAGAAGACCAGATAAATCTGAGTTGTATACAAAAATTAATATTAACTGAATTAACATTTTTCCTTTAAATTATTTTCTAAAATGTTTAACTTGAATTCTAGTTCAGAATGCTACCAAAATAGTCTTTTACGATGTATTTGTTGTTATAATAGTCCACGTATTTAAGATTTGTGTTGTACTTAGCTTTAGTTAAATTTAGCGATAAAACCACTTAGTTAGGGAAGAATTATAATTATTCTAACTTTTTAGTTAACATGTTTATGCAAAATAAAACATATAGCTGTAATATGATTTTTTTGAAAAATTATTGTTTCAGTTTTTGGTCTCAAAATTCAGTCACGGTACGTCACTGGATCTATGGAAATGATTTAGTTGTTCGATGATTTTGAAAGAACGCATTATGGCCATTAAAAAATTACTAATTTTACAATTTATATATTTTTTATTTTGAATCATATAAAAACTGAACAGTGTACACACAGTGTACACACACGTATGTACATGGTGGTCGAAATTGGTCTGGTAAATATTTTTAACAGAGAAAACCAATTTCCTGGCTAGATAGAGCAAAACCGACATAGATGGGCTCGATTTCTGAGAAACGTTTAATGACGTAAATCGCCTGTTCATATTTTCACTGCCAACCGAGATACGGGGTCTTTTTGAATTTTATACCATTTGAAAAATTGCCCATAACTTTTGTATTTCGCGGAATAATAAAATTCTGTAAAAACGTACTTAAGGCACTTTTTTAAGCACATTCCAGTGGCGTAGTCAGTTTCTTTTCTATACTTGCCCTTTTTGTCAGAAATAATAAAAAAATATAATTTTTTAAATGAAAATCATAGTTAGCTATGAACATAAAACAATGCTGGCATTTAACCCTTTCTAACGATATAAAGTTATGTGTATTTATTTCTAAGAATGAGAGAAATATTAGGTTTTTTTCATGGTACAAAGAATACAAGGTATGATATTGCGCAGGTTGGTCGCTACGTCACAGGTGATAACAGGCGCTATTGGTCAGTACGCTCCGCGCGCCAGTTCAAATCGTCAAGATATTGTTATAAACCTGTTTTTTTTGTTTATATACCGTCATTGAATTATCGCTAAGCAAGTTACTGTGGAGCAGTGCATAAGGAGTCGGGCTAGGAAGCGAGAGACCGGAGTTCGAATCTCGGCCGGAACATCAGTTTTTTTTTTATTTTTTAAATACTGTTGTATTCTATAGTTTATTTTGTAAATAAAAAGAACTATTTATTCTGTTATTTTTTAATCTCCGTTATTAATATAAATTGATTGTTAGTACAATACCTCATTTAATATAAAATAATATTCTACTTTTTGAAATGTATCGGGCCCTAATTGTACCTAAAAGTAATATATTTTTAGTGATATACCATATTGTAAACTATTTAATATTTCAGTCACTTAAAAAGTTAGGTAAGTTAATTTGCATTGAATAATTGCCTACCATTAAAGGAAATTTGAGCTATATAACCCTTGATGGGCATATTCTGGGTATGCAAATACTTCCTTTAAATTTTGGGTGTCGTTCAACCGATTTATTCTCAAAACCAGAAACATCTACATATAAAAAGAAGCACAGGTCACTAATTATAATAAACTTTACCCTTGGTATTGCTTCCACTAATTATAATAAACTTCACCCTTGGAATTACTTCTATCAAAATTACAATACGTTCATCTGCATTGGCATTTTCTACTTTTCGATGGGAAACAATAAACTTCCCAACATTTTTTAAATGATGTAACAATTCCTCTTGTGGTTACTTTTCCATAGATATCCTCATCTCTGTCCTCATGTGAATTCAGAGGCAATAAAAATGAAAATTATTTACCATAAACATCGCAAACTAAAAACCTAATAAACAATTTTATACCGAATATAGAAATAAATTTAGTATTTTTACCTGTTATCGTCCAAATCCATGTTAATAGATAATTATTATTTTTAAATATATTTTTGGAACTGCTGGTTTTAGTAATTATCAAATTAAACGAACTAAAAAGTCTTAAAAATAAACAATTCTTAACCATAACCCCAAAAAATGCAGATCTCCTGTCAACTTTCTTTATTTTTTATTTATTCCTCATTTTCCTAGTGACGTCACACGTGGTATGCGCGAACTGAACGAAATTGGAGCCGCTATCGATCATACCTTGTATTCTTTGTACCATGGGTTTTTTTTCTCTTTGTATCGAAGCGGGCCTTGATTTTGTGTAACACCACAATTTAATATTCTATATTATAATTTATCTGCATAATTAAAGAGTTTTGAAAAGGCAAATCACCATTCTATATAAGTATTACCTTTCACAATTAAAACGCCAGAGTTACAACTGCTCTATTAAATGGAGAATTTAGAGAGAATTGGATGGAAACAAGGGGTCCCATATCTTAGCCTGCTAGGTTCTGTGATTTTCGACTTTTTTACTGGGGAAATTAAAAGACCTTATATATAAGGGAAGAACCATTGGGGAAGAATTACAGTAGGTTACTAGGCAAGGTTTTGGACATATTACACCAGTTCGCCTAATAAATCGTTGTAACTCTGGGCGCAAAAGATATTTATTGTGTATTCAACAAAGAGGTGCTCAGTTTGAACTTCTTTGATGATTTTTTTTAGAAAACTATATTTGTCACTCAAAAAATACATTTTTTTTAGTTTTGTTCTTTGCTTATTGTATCAATTTCAATTGTAATAACTAATACTATGTAATATAGAATGTTAATTTTTACCTTTTCAAAAGTCTTTAACTATGCAGATAAATAATAATATAGAATATTAAATTGTGATAAAAATAATTAGGCTAATAGGTCAACACAAAATCAAAGCCCCCTTCGATATAAAGATAAAAAACCTAATATTTATCTTATTCTTCGAAATTGATACCTGTAACTTTATATCGTTGGAAAGTGTTAAACGCCAGCATTTTTTTAAGTTCATAGCCGACTATGATTTCCATTTAAGAAATTATATTTTTCATTATTTCTAATAAAAAGAGCAAACAGAAAAAAACTGACTACGCCACTGTATTGTGATTAAAAAGTGCCTTAAGAACATTTTTACAGGACTTTATTATTCCGGGAAAAAAAGACGACAAATTCAGGCGATAAGGTGTTATTATTACATATTGGTTGGCCCTGTAGAACTATGGACGAACATGTCGCCCACCATTTATGACGCATTACTCGTTGAAGCTCATTCTCCCTATTTATATCTCTGAATTATATCCACGCTTGTGCAGTCACCGTTGTGGTATATAATGTTATTTTTTTACAGGTTTCCAAATCAAAGAGTGCGCATTGAGATGCCGAAGACTGTCGAAGACAACTAAAGAGGGCGCTGAATCAAACGAAGAAACCGATGAAGAACCGGTAGTTAGTTAATCTAGTTATTTTTTTCTCTAATTGCGTTGACTTAAAGTAATGACAAAGTACAAATTGGCTATTATTATTGATATTTCGTTCTTATTTAGAATTATCGGTAAATTTTAGGGAATCTCTTGTTATTTTTGTTGATATCAATTCCCTATTCCGACTTATTATTTTTGTTCAATTTGGTAAAAACGAAAAAAGTATTGTATCGTGTGTGTTTGGGCAACATTCGAATGAAAAAAAAATGCTTAAAATTATTTGATTTTATAGCAAGAAGCAGCTTAATTTTGGGTGATCTCAGATATGCCGAAGTGTGATTTTTTATTTTTTGTTAAAATTAATGATACACATACTTATTGATACAATAAAACAACATAGTTGAAACATATCTGGCTCTATCGATGTGTGTATAAGGATGGCTAAATGTAAAATTTACGTTAGTACTATGTGCCATTTTACATAAAGAAATAATTAGCAAACCAATTGCAGAATTAATTTATTTTATTTGTGTGATATTTTTGAAATTTTATTTGGAAAAGTATTATAATATCGAAACCAAAGACAATTTTCGATTATTTTTGGTTAGATTGTGTAGATGTGACGAGACATTTTAAAACTCAACGTACTGAATCATCTATTTTATTAAATTAGAACTCCATATATAACCATATTAGAACTTATTAAGAAGCTTAAAATTATATAAATTCTAAATATATTTGTACAGAGTGCTTCAAAAATATCTCTATATATAAACGGGAATAAATAAACCGAGTTTAAAAGTGGTTGCAAATTACAGGGATCAAGAAAACTAAAATATTTCTCAGAAATATATAAGCTTTTTGAGGGCATTCTGTAGTTTAAAGAAACAAATTCTTGAGAGTAAGATAAATATGTACAGTTATTAGTTTCTCATTTTTTGGTATGCGTTTATCAACGATATTATACAGGTAACTACAGGGAAAAAGAAAAAGTTTTAGAAGATGTGTCTTCAAAATTTTTAAAGTCTTCAAAATTTTTTCAACAGTGATTGCAATACTTAACTATTCTGATTCTGCTCGTTAGATTGCAGGAAATGAACTTAAGAAATTCGAATTATATATCTACTGCGTTATCAACAGCGTCAAAACAAACAAAAAATTAAATAATATGATTGTTTTTTGACAATATTTAAATTTGTTTTTTTACAATAGTGTGAGGCTAATTAAAACGAGAAGAAATAAGTATAAATTTAATCAATTGAAGGATTTCTAATTTTATTATTGAATAAGTATATTAAAACATACCTATAGCAACTTTTCAATCATTGTTGGTGGCTCTGTATTAGGGTTTCCGGAACCGGAGCTGTTTTTCGGAACCGGAAATTTCGGTACCGCGCCTCTTAGGAACCGGGATGCATTTTTCCGTTTCCTATACGGCTAGCACAACCGATTGCGTTAATCGCATAGGAAACGGACTCGAGACCAGCAACTCCGTTTACTAAGTGATTAACGCAACCAATGCAAATGATATTATTATAATGAGTCATAATATTATTATTATGACAGGTGGACCTATGGGTGGACCTGCAGAGGTGGTAAATTTAATAAATTTAAATTAATAATGAGGTATTTTTATTCTGGATTCCAAAAAAAAACAACATAATTGAGAGATAAATCTAATAGGTAACTTTTAACGTTTTATATGCTAATATTGGCAAGACAGTTCGGCAACACAGCTTTAAGACGTGGTTGATATGTCAATCTGATTTTTTTTAAATAAATAGTGCGGAGTCGGTGGTTGGTTCCTTGTGAAACATTGTTGAAATATTAGAATTTTAATAAAACCCGCTTTTATATGTATCAAAAAAAAAATTAAAAAGAGTAACTTAGTTAGGCATTTTTAAGAGTTCTTTAAAAACTAACCGTCTGACTACATTTTAAGGATATATAATATATTTGAAATCAATAATTGAGTTTACAATAGAGGTAATAAAAAATGTATTTGGAAATCCTTGTTGATCGTTTACATTATTATCGTTTTTAGCTGATTTTAATGTTTCTAACTATTCAAGGTAATTTAAGCGTCTGCCTTTTGTTTCTCTATCTAATAACTTAATTGAGCTTTCATTAACTGTGTGACTATTTAATATACAATGAGTTGCTAAACCGGAACTTCGCTGGAGATTATTAATAGATTTTATATATTCTTTAATCCTTATATCTAAATTTCTACCTGTTTGACCTATACGTACATGACATTACAATTATAGCAATCCACCCTATATAAATCAATGAAAGGAATTATTATGATTTTCATTGTTGGAATATTATTTTTGTAACTTTATTTATTTGATTAATTGTCAAATTAAATTGTTTAAATCTTAATTCTTAGAGTTTTGTTATAGTGTAGCGGTTACAAGTAATATTGAGTGTCCCATTTTCTATGTCCTAAGTGACTATAAATAAAGCATACCTAGAAAGTTCATTGCAAGCGCTTCTTTGCATGGGTTGCGATGATCACTTAGTAGACGGAGTTGCAGGTCTCGAGTCCGATTCCTATGCGATTAACGCAATCGGCTGCGCTAGCCGTATAGGAAACGGAAAAACCGTTCTTTTTTCGGTACTTTCGGTACTAACTAATTTTTGTTCAGTGGTGGTGCAGTTCATCAATCAGAAAGAGCAAGGGATGGGTTTTCAGTTTTCAAAGTAAAATGGATAAGAAATTGAGATTTTTAATGAAAATAATATCAAATTATTAATTAATCAGTAATGAAAATATTAAAATGAACACAAAAGAAAAAATTATAGGTAACTTAAATTTCACGTCAAGCAACATAAACCAAGTTATATGAATTTGAGACAAAAGCCCTAAAATATCGAATTAAAAATGCAAATATCTATTAAAACATAACATAATAAGTATTATAGGAACTTCAAAAGAGAAAAGAAGCAAGAACAATAAGAAATAGAACCATTACTGATTTAGAAGAGTTTGATTTAGACTCCTAGAAAGTATCAAAGAAATTTTTAATTATTGTTACCGAGGCCCGATTTTGTGATGGCAAAAAGATCTGAACCCTAATTGGTAGTATTAATTAGAGTTTCCGGAATCGTACTAAAATATTTTCGTTCAATGATTGTGGAGTTCGTCGATTAGCAAACAAGGGACGGTTCTCAAAAGTAAAACCGATAAAAAATTGAGTTTTAAATGAAAATAATATCAAATTATTAAGTCATGAGAAAATAAATATGAACACACAAATAATGAACACAAGCAAAAAAAAAAAGAAAGAAACACATAGGTGGCTTAAAAATTACACCAAACAACATCAACCGACCTCGAAACCAACTTAACAAAATTTGAAAAAAGAACTTAAAATATTTTCAATTAAAGATGCAATTGCCTATAAAAACAACACAAAAAATGTAACTAATACATTTAGCACTATTATATTAAATAATAAAATATCATATTTAAAATTCAATAATTGCTAATAAACATTATAGAAACTATAAAATAACTTCGGAAGTAAGAACAGTAAGAGATAGCATCACTACTGACTTATTTAGAAGAGTTTGATTTCGACCGCTAGACAGTATCAAAAGTCTTTAGCACGTAACAAAAAATATGTTTTTAATTATTATTAGCGAGTCCCGAAAGTACCGACAGAACCGGAACCTTCATAATTTCGAAATCTGGTTCTTAAGCCGCGTCCAAGCTACTCGAACAAAACGTTCGCGAACATATATAATTCACACTATATATTCGTAGCAGCAGGTCGTAAACGACGGCACGGTCCATCGCATCGGTCCGGAGGACAGAGGTGCAAGGAAGAATGCGACAACCAGTTTGCTTTATAGATCTAGGATGCGTTTAGGTAGTCGCTGTTTTTTCGAGGGCCCGAATTTCGAGTGCAAGCATTTTATTAAATAAATTAACCGGTAAACAGTTTAAGAACTTTTGTCGTTGAAGAATCAATATTTAGCAGGCGGAGGGTCACAGGGGTCTTTTGGTAGATTATTCGTTATAGTGTATTTTTAAGATCTGTATTCATTTTCAGCCGTTTCCACCAGGTGTTTCTCAAAAGGGGCTCACTTTTTTACTTTTTCATTTTTTCAGATAATACAACGAAATTTGATTTGTTAGTATATCACATAAATCGGGATTGATTGACGTATTCAATTACCTTCGGTCGCTTCCTGTTTCACCGGAAATGACTACAACTTTGTATTTTCAGATTGTATCCTAAGTACTTTTTTACTTTATTTGATAGAAAATGACATTCTGAATAGAATGACATACAATACATCTATTTTAGACAATTCGAATTAAATAAAAATAGCATTTTAAATTTCAATCTAGAGTGCCAAGACTGAGTTAAAACTATTAATTTGTAATCAAAGAACTTTGGAAACATATATTTGATCGTGTAAAATTTTTTCGTGTCCTTTCATGGTGCCCATTTCATAAAAGGTGCCCAAATCGTATTTTTAATGATAACTCAGAATTTTCAAATGGTACGAGGCTGGCTCAGCATATTTGGAAAAAGCATTTTTTACGAATAATTTGGTACCACATACTTGGTATTTAGAGTAAAATTGTCGTTACGTTTATTTATGGCCATTTTTAAATTGAAAATGTCAAAAGTTGACCTATAATATATCATTCTATTTAGAATGTCATTTTCTATCATATACGGTAAAAAAATACCGAGGGTACCATTTAAATCAAAAGTTGTTGTCATTTCCGGTGAAATAGGTAGTGACCGAAAATAAATGAAAACGTCGATCAATCCATGTGTCGATGTCCTATACTAACATACCAAATCTCGTTTTTTATCTAAAAAATTATAGAAGTGAACCACTTTTCAGAAACACCCGGTATATTTATTTCTAAAAATGTAATGGTAAAATTTCATTTCCGGTGTCAAACTTCCTATTAAGTAGTAATTTTTAATTTCAGAATCCCATAATAATTCCGGTTTTTAATAAAAATAATCATAAAGCTCTTTATAAACAAAAATTAAATTATATGGACGAAGTCTAGCTACATAGCTATTCACACTCAACCCACAATAAAATTAAAATTATAAAATCTTTTCTTTGTGTCAACAAATTAGTTGTAAATGTTTTTCACGATCCCAGTCAATAACTGCGTCTCCTATTGTCGAATGCTCGGTAAAAAATAAAAATCACAGATAAACGCCCGAAATTAAATGAGACCCTTCCAAGTGTCCGGTACAATGTCCGCCGAAATGCACGCCGTTCGCTCCTTTTGATTTACCGACACCCGTCGGAAAAAGAACGCGCGCGCTCTAGCATAGGCAGACGCACGCCCTGGCGTACAAGCTAGCCGTTCGGCGCTCCGCGCTCCTTAGTAGGCCTAAACTAGCTGTACTTGTTGGCTTGATTATTTATAAATCTACCTATCTCACAATTTTCACTTAGTATCTGTTTAATTATATATGTTCGCGAACATTTTGTTCGAGTAGCTTGGACGCGGCTTTACATGTGTCAAAAGAACAGGGAATTCCCAGTACTTTCGGTACCGGGATTTTTGAATGACTGACTATTTTGATTTTTTTTTTATTAACTGTACCCTGTAGTAACCTGTAGTGTAAGTATCAATATCATTGTCTAAATTATAAAACTAATATTTTGAAAGAAATATTTATTAAGAGACATTATAGTGGCTGTTTTATCAAGAATAAAATTTTCTCTTCCCACACAATGAACTAAAACTTGGAAAAATGAATTTAAATTATTTTAAATTATGGACTTTTGTATTATATTATTATGAGTTATTTTTAGTTTTAAAATAACATTTTTTCTAGTATCGGTAAGATATGACTCTATATATATTTAGGTATGTATTGAAATGTGATCATTTTTTAAACATATATATTATATGATATATATATTTTTGTGGTTTTTCCATTAAATGGGAAATTATAATTTGGATCTATTTGTGCAATTTTGTACCCCTATATGTTTTATATTCGGACTTTAACATCCCATATTTTAATTATATTTTTTATTATAATATATCTCCGTTAATAAACTTTGTATAGTCTAACAAGGAAAAAACTTCTGATTTTATTTGAAATCCTAAAATTTGTTTTAAGATGATTCTTCCTGGCTTGTGGGGAAGAAGGTGATTTTATAAAGGATATATTTTAAGATTGTTGTAACGAGAGGATATTTACTATTGTTAAAATAAACGTATAAAAGTGAAAATGTATTTTGTTTCAATAAATAAAAGTATATTGTAGTAGAAATATTTTTTTATTTCGATCCAATTATGGTAATAAAAAGACGAATAATGTTAAAGATCTATATAATTTTTTATCAGATACACGTGTCATGCTCAAATAAGATAAAAACAATTTATTTATTGTCGCTTATAAATATAACAAAGCCAAAACATTCTATTGGTGGGTGATATAATGTCAAAATATGTTAATCATTTCTGGCATTTTTATTTCTTTACACAACATTGATTCCCAGAGGGACATGAACCACAACCTAAAAAATAATAAATACCTAGTTAACACAATATAAGCCATAAAACATAAAATAAATTAAGAAATGCTTCTGTATTAATAAAGATTTTAAAATAGTTATTTTTCTAAACATATTAGCATTTATAAATAGCCATAGAGTTAGGCATTATAAATAGCCATTAGGTATTGTGAAATTATGGTAAATATTTTATGCTTCATTTTTAAATGACTTATTTAAATAAGTACCTGAACTTTGCCCACATTGGCAATTTGATCCACATTTGCAATTAGGGCCACATTTACAATTTTGGCCGCATGGTTTACTACCTTGGCATGCTTCTAGAAAAAAAAATAATAAAATATTCTATTTGTCTGAACGTTTATTAAAATATATTTAATATTTTAATAAAAGACAATTAAACATTAAAACAAACAACAATTTTAAAAATAAACAATTCATATAAAAGGAGATATTCATAACACATAAAATGTAACTTTACTAAGCTTAAATGAACGATGCCAAAAGTCGGTAAAACCTGTTATTACTAATACTATACTTACTATAAGTATATAAAATATATACCTATATTTTTATAGATATTTTGAAAAATTTATTTAATCTATGTTTGGTTTGGTTTGGTTTGTCTATATACTGATATTATGAACATCACAATTAAACAAAATTAGCTCTGATAGGTAGGTGCATCATAATTTAGGTATTTGGGTAATTATTCTTTTATACATCAAGAAATTATATGAAGCACTGCAAATCTAAAATATCTCTAATATGCAATAATATTGCACAACCACTGTAGAAAATTAAATAACGTTCAAATATATACATACAGACCAACTTAATTAATTCCATATTGATTTTAGTCACTACAAAATAAAAATATTTAACCTACCTTTACCAGAATCACCAGGAGATGGCATGATCTAAAAAGATCTTAAATAATTTGAAAGGTATAAAGTCACTATGTAAATGAATTTGAACCTCCTATGCACCGTTTAAAGTCATTTAAATCATTGATCCATGGAGGAAAAAGCCTGTAGAGGGAGTACATCCTGCTTCAGAGGCGTAACATCCCAGGGAGTATAAGAAAATTAAAACAGAGTAGTAATAATTTATTTTGGAAATTTTATACTGTTTCCTTAATGTTGTAAACTAGGTCGATAGTTCAATATAATATAAAAAAATATGTAAAATATCCGAATTTATGAAAATTATTTTGTTATATTACTTTTGTCGAAACAATCGTTGGCAAATTAAAAGGCTGTTATCGTTTATTTTGTTTAACAAAAAATATATAAAATACCCATATATTTATAAAAATTAAATAAATAAAAAGAAAAACAATAAAAGATTAATAAAATCACTAATAAGTTCGGTCTACTAATATATCTTTCTCATAAAAAAATAGAGGATGCGTCTCGTCAATAAAAATTCGACAAATTTGCAAGAAACCAATGTAATGAGTGCGCGCTGAGAGTGAAAGTTGAAGGCCGTGACACACGAGCTAATAGCGTCACGACACACGCGACGAAAAGTGACCAATGAGGAAGATGAGATGGGTCATTGAAGCGTTGTAACTCTACGTCGTCCTATGTAAGCTAGGAGGCTGAACTCGGAATGTAGATCGGGCTCGAAGAGAAAAAACAACAAACTACACTTTTTCAAACATATGTCCTTCGAATCCTGCAATTTTAATTTAGTTGCTGTTAGTAAGAAGATTCACTTCAAATATGTGCACATAGTGCGAACATACTTTTTTTGTGTTCTCATTAGTGGTAGAGTAACTACTGGTTAATAAGAACTGATTAATTGAGTATCTGGGGGCACGGCAGGGTGCCCCCGCCATTTCGAGCACAGCCGTACCATCCTTTTCTCGAAGTTATTAGCGGCACTTTTGACCACCCTTTAACTTCGTTGTGGATAAAGAAAGAATATTAATTTTCACCACATTTGAAGACATACGATAGCTGGCTAGGTTACCAAAATAACTAATAATATTATCCCTCATAGTTTATGAATTATCGCTTGACAAATTTCTTTAATTTCGACATTGACTCACTGACAGATCATCAAAATTCTAAGGTACATACTTCTAGATGTGTCACTCCAAATTTAGAATTTTAGGTAGATTTAAGCTTACAACCAATGGAAAAAATTAAAAATCTCGAAATATCCTTATGGATTAAAAGTTAGCTGTCTAGTCGCTATAGTGGTAACCAAGTTTCCGGTAATGGCCAATAGGAGGACCGGTGATAGGGTTGTTTTAAAAATTTTGATTTTTATATAAAGGCACCTGCTCCACCTATCTAAAATATTATCAGCGTTACAGTGTTGCCGGATCATTTGAAAAGTGGTGGCATCTTTGTTATTTTAAATGGAAGTGTATATATTATTACATTTTTGGAAATTAATCTCATATCCCTTATAGTTTTCGAGATAAAAAATAAAATATGTGTAAAATTGACAAAAAAATAATTTTGGATAAGCATTGGTAAAATTATGAATTGAAGTCGTTAGAAAACTAGAATTAATTCAATTGATATTATCTGACTTAATTAATTATACGATAATTCACAGTTTATGAATTATAGTCAAACTTCTTTAATGTTATTTTGAATGACCCGCAAAAAAATAGAAGGATAACGTACAAAAAGAAATAAGTGTGTTGCGAGACTTGGCATTTTTTTTACATTCTATCCTTGTATATGAATATAAACAAGGATTCTATGTTTTTGATGGGATAAAATATACTGACGACGCCTATGTCGCTTTACATCACGATATTCCTCAGACTCCTTATTCGTCACGCACTAGCTAATACATGAAACAATTTAGATGAAAAAATATTGCAGAAGTTTGTGAAAGAAAATATACGTTCTGAATTTCACTTTGAGTACTGAAATTATGATAAAAGACAACATTTTCCCATACCCTAAAAATATAAATACGCACTTACATCAATAAAAGCTTATTTATAGAAAAAAAAACTATTCAGTGAAATATTAAGAATTATTACTCCACTGATTAACTCACGTAGTCGAATACATAATTTAAATTAAAGTCAGTACGATAACGTTATACCACATATTATTATGTGTTATTATTTATTGTTTCACCTACCTTCTCTAATCTAAATTATTTCTATGAGTCACCAAATAATGTTATATACAGCGTGTCACACACATTCAGAAAAACAACTATCGGTAATTGCTGTTAAAAAATTGTGTATAAAAAATACTTCCAGAAAACAGTAGATATTGTGTATTTCATTTTTTTATGACAAACTATTTTGTCTAAGGAAGGGTAGTTCGTAAAATCCAAGTCATGGCCATTTCTAAAAAAGGTTGTTAAAATTGTAAATGACTTAAGAAATAATACTTCTTCGTCTGGCACAGTCTTTAATTCACCTGAAGATTACTTTACTTAACCTTACTTTGTTAATATGGCTAAAAATTTAGTGAACACCATAACTCCTTCCCATGATTCACTTTCATATCTCCCTAAAGCAAATAAGAGTTAACACAGTTTCTTCTTCACGCCCGTAGCATTAGATGAGCTCCGTAGTACAATTAGAAGTATTAAAAAAATCCTCATCTGGGACTGATGGTCTTACTCTCAAAATGTTCTCTGAACTTCCGTAATGCACGCTACTACTTTAATTAACGAGTCATTCCAAAAAGGAGTTTTTTCAAACTGCCTTAAGACAGCAATAATTATTCCTCTGCATAAAGGAGGAGATAAAGATTAAGCTTCGAACTATCGCCCAATTGCTCTCCTGCCCACATTATCTAAGATCATTGAAAAATTGGTTAAAAAAGGCTCCTATTTTTTCTCCTTTAATATAAAGTACTTACTTCCAATCAATTTGGATTTCTAAGTAACAGTTGCACAAATGATGCTATGTTTGACCGTTTTAATAATGTATACTCTAGCCTGAATAACCATCACTCTACAGCTACAATTTTCTGTGATTTCTCACAAATTCAAGGCTTTCGACTGCGTAAATCATAATATCTTAATTAACAAATTGCAATAATATAGATTCAGGGGAGTGCCGCTCGAATGGCTTAAGTCATATTTTGGCAACAGAAGGCAGCTTGCGAGGAAGGGAAATTTGTGAAACTCTCGGTGCACGTCATCAATGACACCATGCGTCGTCTTATGGAGTTTGCTGGTGGTCGTATTATGATGTGCAACCAAAGTTATTTTTTTCCTATATGTCTTCTTGTAAGCCTATAGAATGTGGTATCCCTCAGGCTTCAGTACTTGGCCCTATTTTGTTTCTGGTGTTTATCAACGACATTGCAATTCTAGACATTAGCGGTAAAATCTGCCTCTTTGCGGACGATACTAGTTTCACCTGGAGCGGCGCAGATGTTACGGCACTATAAATACTATATCCAGTGACTTACGCACCATTAAATCTTGGTGCGACGATTCTAATCTCCTATGCCTCAACCTTTTAAAAACTGTAGTTTTGTCGTATAAAAGTACTATACAACCTTTTGTACTTAATAACACCACTATTGACGTCGTGGACTCTGTGAAATTCTTAGGACTTGTTGTAGACAACTCGTTAAAATGGGACTTGCACATCGAAGCTTTATTAGAGAAACTAAGCGCTGCCTGTTTTGCGCTAAGATCAGTTTCTAAGAAACTTAACTTATCAACCTCTAGAATGGTTTATTATGGTAAATCCTAGGTTTAGCCCGCTTATCCTAGGTTTTACCGCATTTCGGACATTTACAGTAGCATAAATAATCCATATTAATTATACACAAGAACAGTTAACCTAATAGGACTGCTCATTCAGCCAAAAGTGTCCGCCAGGTGCATGCGAAAACTACTCGCTTTGTGACGTCATTGTAGCCCTTGTCATGGTTATTAGTCCTTATCCGGCAACCAATAATACACACACGTGCATTATTGGTTACCGAATGCAAAACGTTCATTATTTAGTTTATTTATTTAAACACCTTATATGTATGCAGTATAGAAAATTAACTGGTATAAATCGTATTAAATACTCGGATAATGCATTTTTAAGAACAGCAGTTCCCAGCATCACCTTTTGCAAACATTCTTTTTAGAGTACTTCCATATTTTGCCTTAAAATAATTAATAAAAAAAAATCGAAGGCACTTAGTATGCACTTTGTCACAATCCACAACACAAAATGAACGTATTTATAAACTCTATAGCTCTAAAAATTTTAAAGACACCTTTTTCACATTTAAAATTGACAAAATAATTAACTCAAAATTTCTCAGCTGTTATTTTTATAAGTTTACCATAGGCAACTAATAATACACACTATCATGACAAGGCCACGAAGGCTTTGACAAGGGCTACAATGACGTCACAACTGTCAGCTGGAGCGCGGGAAGAGGCGAACGTACGTCTTATGAGGATGAGCAATCCTATTAGTTTACCGAACTTGAACTATACATATAAAATGGCAGCGGTAATTTCATAGCCATCGCTGACGCTGTTTTTTTTTATCATACGGGGTAGTTTGATATTTAATTTAAGCATCTACTTTATCGAGTACAGAAAAATCTTTTAACCGTTTTAAAAAGTAAATCAATCAAATGTAAAGAATGTAATTTTATTGAAATCTACGTGAATACGTGAAATTTCTTAAGGGGGAATAAAAAAATAGTAATAATTTTCTGAAAGACCTTTACTAAACAAATAAATTATAGACCATAAAAAATAAATTAAAAATCTTATCTGCTAATCTTATTTAAAAATAGAAACATCATCATAATTACCAAGAAAACGAAATTAAAACATGTTCTATATAGATAAGTATCAAATTTATTATAAATTAAGTTTAATATCTAAAAAATATACTTCATAATTTCTTAACGGAAAATAAACATCCAAATCTTAATGCTTTACTAGCCATATTAAAATATATTCCTCAGCTGCAGTATTTTCTGTTCCGTTTGTTTACTTTGCACTGAATTATAGTCTGAATAGGATCCTTTCAACACGTTTCATTTCACTTAAATAATAGTACAAACACAACAGCACTGATCCGGAGGAGGCCCTCCATGTGGACCTGGCGGTGGTGGACCTCCGTGGTGTGGTGGACCTCCGAAATGGGGTGGCGGTGGGCCTCCGTGATGGGGTGGACCTCCAAAATGTGGCGGTGGACCTCCGTGATGTGGTGGGGGCGGCATTTTTTTATTAGTAGATTAACTTAGTTGAAACACTATTATAATACCAACAATTTTACATATAGAAATGGTACGTATACACGGATGGTTTAGAATATATATGAGTATATGACAGATGGTTTATAGGAGTGGTATTTATCTTATCTTTGTCGATTTAATAGATTCTCTGAAAACGATAGAAATAGCGGATATATGTATACCTGTGATTAATTTTATTTTTATGAATAGTGTAAAAACACTTGAAGATTTACTTTGAAAAGAGAAGCATCTAATATATTTCAAGGTATAGAGATTAGAAACAGGTTGTTCAGTTTGTAATTAATTTTTTCAAAAAAGTATTTTGAAGTGCTTATCTTAGACAAGGTTGTATTTCATCTAATAAAGATATATGACAGATATGTTAGTCATTATTAAATAATTTATTATACGTTATTCTTCTTTGGTTTAATATCCTATAAATGCAAGTTTATTATATGCAATTAAATTTAAAATTATGATGATTAAAAATAAATAGGAAAGTCGCATATACAGGGTGAGTCTTAAATAGGTGCAAATATTTTCAAGGGTAGTAGATTTCGACCCCAGGAACACCTCTACGAGGTTTTTTCGCAGAGAGAAGACGTTGAAAACCGTGCATTTTCGTTTAAAATTCCCTGTATATTTTTCGAAAACTTTTTAGAACTGCCTGTTCACCGCAAATTTTCCCACGGTATAATTTTTTAATCTCTAATATTACCATGGTTACGGCACTAAAGGGGATTTAATATTGCCACTTCCTACATGACCTGTATTTTTAATTAATTATTCATACGAGAAAATGCCACTAACAAGTAAGAAATTACTGAAAGAGAGTGAACAATTCAAAAAAGATGGGGAAAATACCCTGTATGGTAAAGTGTAACTATACTCTGTTTTTTTTCTCAGGTAAGATTTCGACAGACGATGACAGAAGAAAAGCAGATGACGTCCCAAGAACGGTAAACTTATAGGATTGCTCATCCTCATAAGACGTACGTTCGCCTCTTCCCGCGCTTCAGCTGACAGTTGTGACGTCATTGTAGCCCTTGTCAAAACCTTCGTGGCCTTGTCATGATAGTGTGTATTATTAGTTGCCTATGGTAAACTTATAAAAATAACAGCTGAGAAATTTTGAGTTAATTATTTTGTCAATTTTAAATGTGAAAAAGGTGTCTTTAAAGTTTTTAGAGCTATAGAGTGTATAAATACGTTCGTTTTGTGTTGTGGATTGTGACAAAGTGCATACTAAGTGCCCACGATTGTGTTTATTAATTATTTTAAAGCAAAATATGGAAGTACTCTAAAAAGAATGCTTGCAAAAAGAATGCTTGCAAAAGGTGATGCTGGGAACTGCTGTTCTTAAAAATGCATTATCCGAGTATTTAATAGGATTTATACAGTTAATTTTCTATACTGCATAAGGTGTTTAAATAAATAAACTAAATAATGAACGTTTTGCATTCGGTAACCAATAATGCACGTGTGTGTACTATTGGTTGCCGGATAAGGACTAATAACCATGACAAGGGCTACAATGATGTCACAAAGCGAGTAGTTTTCGCATGCACCTGGCGGACACTTTTGGCTGAATGAGCAGTCCTATTAGGTTAACTGTTCTTGATGACATATATGATGACATAACTGTTCTTGATTCCATCTATTTATTTTACTAAAAAAATTTCTAATAATTTTTAAGTTAACTATGGATGGGTTTAAATATAAATTCGTCATGCGTCGTCACTTGTTGCTTTAACCAGTTTTATTGGTTTATTTCAAAAATGACAGATCGTATTTCAATTTTATTGGTTTGACGGAACGATGAACGACAAACGGACGCCGATGCGTATGAACTCGCCTTTAGATTTTTGACGTTTGTCAAAGTCTTGCTAAATTATAGGTTATAATTTTGTGACAACTTTTGTCAAATACCCTGCGTTTTGGAAGATGATGCATTTTGATTCGTGTTATTACGTGTGTTTTGTGTCTTTTGAAGTCAAGTGGAGGAAAAATCGAGTGAAAATTAACTGTAGAACCCAGAGCACATTTTATGGTTAATACTCGCTGCCCAGGCAGAAAGTCTTATACAGATACACCAATAAAGTTACTATCAATAAAGTTCGTATACCATCTCGTCGTAGATAAGTGCATCTCGAATATGGTAGAAAGACCATACTAAACACATACTAAAAACTGGAGTAGCTGTAAAATATCGACATCACACGATAGATAAATAATAGATTTTAGTACTGCAGAAAAATAATGTCAAAAGGTACTGGTTTAAAAAAATTAAGATTAAAATTAACTAATCAACCTGTGAGGTATAAAATTTGGTAAATGTTATTATTAATAAAATAGTTTGTTTTATTTATGTTGTTTTATTTATTCCTGCGGAATATTACAAATTTGTATTTGTACATAAGTTATATTGATAAATATAATCATAAATGCGGGAAGTTTCATAAAGCTTGAAAGTAAGAAATAGTTCTTTTTTATATTTTTTGGTATGTGGTGTCTTGTTTTGTATTAACACATAAAGTTTTTTATTAAATAAAATAACTCGATTACATTTTTTCAGTGTTATACAGTTTTTTTCAGAATATTTTGAAGTTACTTGTCAGTCAAATTTTAAATACCTACATATATTAATTCCCTGCTATGCGTTCCAGCTGTACCAACTTATTTCTATGTAAAATAAAATAAACTACTTTGAAATTAAAATGACAGACACATCTATCACTGTCAAGGATCTTCTCGTTGGACAGACTATAGTTACCATTACCCTTTGAATAAGAAGACTAAGGAAGGAGCATAATGCTATCCTGAATACATGGATGTATGCATGAACCAAAGCATGGTGGGCGGAAAAAGGACTCTAGGGTGGGGATTCTTGACAGTTCTGTTTGACGATTCAATGACACATTTGAATTTGATTTGAAATTTTGTGGATTTGTCAGTTTTTACGGAGCTTATTTTATGCTATTTATTATTTATTCTACTACTGATAGTTGTATAAAGGTAGTAAATCTAGATGGAAATTGTGGCAGAACTTAAATTAACAGTGACACTATCGCGATTTATCGAAAAAGACTCTAAAATAGTTGGTTGTGTAGCGTGCGGTAGATCTCGGCAAAAATTGAGTGAAATAATGGAACAACTTTTCGCTAGTAAGTGACTATATAATATACATACGTGTAGTAAACCGATCTTTTATAAAATTCACTTAAATTAACTAATTATATATTTCTTCTTGCATTTTTGCTTTTATTTACTACTTGTCATAGATTAGATTCAAAAGAGTCGTATACGTCAATTTGACTTACCTGCTTCAGTAGCGTATCGGATGTTTATGGTTATAAACAATTATTATAACTTATCTATTTTTATTAGAATTTTATATTTTTATAACAATTTTAATAACTACCAACATTTATTCACAACGTAAGATAAACTAAAACAAATTATTGAGTCTACCCCACGTCTACCCTACATCATAGTTTTACATTTCTTAAATAAAATTAGAACGGCACTGATAAACCGGAATTTAAGTCGGCCATATTTGAGGCCCATCGCGTTGGACCTAAGATTTTTCATATGCTCCTTCCTTAGTCTTCTTATTCAAAGCCACTAAAAGGGATGCAATATTGCCACTGACCACATAACCTATTTTTTTTTAATTATTCATACGAGAAAATGCCACTAACAAGTAAAAAAATTACTGAAAGAGAGTGAACAACTCAAAAAAGATGGGAACATAAATACCCTGTATGGTAAAGTGCAAAGGTACTAGTTACCATTACCAAGACACTATGCCATTATGATTAATTTATCTATATATTTCAGTATAAAAACATACCCCTTTAACCGTTTTTAAGTTCAATTAGAAATAACCAGAACTAACTTATATAATTACACACATTTCGGTACTAACATTATTACATCTCATTATTACATCTCACTTAACACCTGTAATAACGAATCACGAAGTAACAAATACATAAAACATGTGTTTTGAGTAAAATAAATTGTTTATACTCGATTTTAAGTGTCTTACCCTATGGTCTTACCTTGTCAGATAAAATATTGTACGTAATTTATATTACAGTTGAAGGTTGGAACTTCTGATGATGTGTCTTGGTGTTACAATAGGAAAATAAAACACTAATTCACCACAATATACACCAAAACACTTTTCTCTTGCACTCCAAATTTATTGATATATAATCCGTAAAATACAAAATACTTTTTCCCGCTTAAAATAATATGGCATATATTTGCATATAAACAATTAAAAAAATATAAACAGTTTTTCAAAACTTCCAAAAAAATATTATTAAAATATTTACACTTTGATGTACCTAAATAAAACATTAAACACTTATCTAAACATAAAAATTATATTTATAGAAAGAAATATTATAAATATTTTAAACTCATGAAAAAGTAAATTTGCAATGAAGATTGGAGGAATAATAATTATCAACATTGTTTTTAGTTTGTAATTTTTATTTGCTAGCTATACAATATATTGTCTATTTTATAGCTATTTAACACAAAGTCATCGACTACGTTATGAAAATATGACATCAAATGCATAATTGAGAAATGTTTTGCAGTCAAATGTTTTTGCCATTAAATGTTTCATTAACAGAGTCAAAGTCTGAATACCTTTAAAAAATATATATTGTTTTCACTTATATGATGGTGCAAACACAGCATGTATCTTGTGGTGGCGGTGGTGGAGGTGGGCCTGCAAAATGTGGAGGGGGTGGACCACCAAAATGTGGTGGTGGAGGTCCAAAATGTGGTGGAGGAGGTCCAAAATGTGGTGGTGGTGGGCCTCCAAAATGTGGAGGTGGCGGTCCAAAATGTGGAGGTGGTGGTCCAAAATCTGGCGGTGGTGGGCCTCCATGATGTGGCGGATACATTCCTCTTGTTACGTTAAAAATTAGTAAGTACACCTTCACACAATACCAAAAATTCACGTATAGAAGTGATAAAATTCTGGTTAATTGTAGGAATGCTTTTTAATCTTATCTAAATCTGTCGGTTTAGTACAGTAAATGCAATCGATAAACGTAATAATTTTAGAAATATGATTTTTCAAAGAAATTGTGTTAAAAATGGATGACAGTCGATATTCAGACATATTTCAAGGCATAAAGATTGAAAGATTTTAAAATTTAATTTTTAATAAGTATTTTCCAGAATTTGTCTTAGTCAAGGTTTTATTTTATCTCTTAAATATATCATACTTCAGATACATTCATACTTCACTGTACTTATTTATAGTCTAGGAGGCAGTAAAGATTTTCGGTACTTATTTTTCTAGTCACACTGGAAACACTAATTATTCGGTATGTTATTAATCGATTCTACAAAGCAAATATAAATTGGGAATAATTATTCTCCCAAAATTTTGTACTTTTTGAACGGAAATTTTAATAGATATTCCTGGTATATACTTGGAAATGGTTATACCTGGTATATACTTGCTTTGTAGAACCGGCTCTAAGCAAATTTTACGTACCGCCGGGTGCGTCTCAAAAGTGGCTCACTCCTATAAGTTTTTTATATTATATAACATATAATACGTTAAATTTCAAGCATCGAAAAATACTAACGGTTACGGATTTCAAAAATCAGTCAAATTTTGCATCCGCAAATATTCAGCCAGACTGACTTTCCTCCACTTGAGATGTACAAAACTGTTTTTTCCATTAATAAAATTATGTACTTTCATAAAAAAGATAAATACATGTTTATGACTAGAAAAATAAGTGAACTTTTTTAGTTTTTTATCTGGCAAACCTATCCGAAAATTTTAGCCAGATCCACAAATTGTCATTTTTAATGTCGTCATCCGAACATACTTTTATACAGAAAAGTCCACAGACTTCGAGACATAGGACAATCAAGTCCATTTAGCGTGTGTCCAAATTTTGACAAATTTTCAAAAATGACAGTTTTGTTTAGACTGACGTTTAATCTCTCGGTGAATGATTTCTTTTTATGGGGGTACATAAAATCTAAAATTTACGGCCATGAAGAAATTCAAAACTTGGAGTAGTTAAGGCAGAAAATATTTAATGCCTTGACACTGTCACCCCTGATATGTTATCCAATGTGAGGAGAGAGGGAATTTTATGATCGTTTGGGTTATTGTTTAATGCAAGAGGGAGGCATTTTTGAACAATTTTTGTATTTTTTTAAATTTCATTATACTGTTTTTTTTACCGTTTACCCATTACCTACCTTGACGAACATGGGTCCTTTTCATACAAAGGTCCTTTTCAGGACCACAAATATTTTGATTGAGAAATTTGTTACTTATATTTTTTTGGATTAAAAAAACAAAAGCTGTTAATATAATAACAATTTAAAAGTGTTTTAGTAGTTTTAATACCACTCTATGATATAACATTTATTATTATTATAATGTACATTATTAATACCGTATGATCGAAAAAAAAACGGCGTCCAGTTGGATTGGAAATGACGATCGATGACATTTCCCATATAATTTTACATATAAAATGACAGCGATCTTCATTTCATAGCCATCGCTGACGCCGTTTTTATTCGATCATACGGTACTATTATTCATTCGAAATTGCATTAAGGCCCAATTGCACCAATGATTTCAATTTTTCTTAAAGATAAGTAGAGCTTAGAATGAGCCGTATTAATATTTACTTTAATATTCACCTTAAATGAAGGAATATGACTGATACATTTTTTGGATTTGAATTGTTTTTAATGACACTAACAATTTTAGTTCAATTTTTAATAAAATTTATTTAATATTAATAGAAATCCAAGAGATTTGAAACCTCTTTTAGCAATTTATAACAATCTCAAATGAATTACAGGTGCCCTTATTTTCTATGAAAACCACACAGCTTTTTTCATAGTCGCTGCAGTTGCTATAGCTATAAAAAAACTAATTTTTTAAGGTGTGAAAATTGCGATACACGCTAAATGGACTTGATTTTTCCTATGTCTCGAAGTCTGTGGACCTTTCTGTATATTATATATATTATATATATGGGAAAATAAGTACAAAATTATTATTTTTTCTATCTTTGTTTACACAACGTTTCGGTCAGTTAATACTAGAAAAATCGAAACCACTTTTATTTTATTATGTTGATATGTATGTAATATTAGTGCTACTGAAAAAAAAAAACTAAGACCTCATTTAGTTTGTGCTAAGACTAATATATAAAGAAAATATTTCTGTGACGCGACTAGAGCCAAAGATAGGCTTTAAATTTGGCCATCAAATCATCAATGTAAAGCTACCAATTAAAGCATCTTATTTTATTAAAAAAAATCTACTAAATTTTAATAACTTATTTTAATACCTCCTGTCAATTTTAAAATACCCGTAATAGAAGTAACATATTTTTAGTCTTCTAAAATCCATAATATATATGCCCGTAAATTGTTTTATAAAATCTTGTTCAAAAATTGAACCATACTGACCTTGCTCTGACCATTTCCGTACAAGGCTGATCCTCATTCTACTGACAAAAATATGTATGTGAACTTAATGTTGTCAAAATCAGAATAAATAGAGCAAAAATAGAAAACAAACATATAGTCAATATATTAAAAAATATGAAAGAAGGATGAAATTATTGGGCAACCTACAGTAAGATCAGCCATGAAACATGGCTAAAATACGCACGGTCTTTTGTTTATTAAAAGATATGTTTATAATTTACATAAATTATTACCTACATTCTATTACATTTTAACACAATATAATATATACATTTATTTAACATGCTCTGTATACGTAATTTACTATTAATAGGGATGTTTGATAAAAATGAATTAAATGCATTATTGGTACATTATTTTCTGTGCGATATTCAATGGAGGTGGTTTTTTCACAGGTTGAAAAACTGAATACCTTTCAAATGGCTTATTTCTTCTATATAATGGTGCAAGTACAACACGATCCACTTGGGGGTGGTGGTGGTGGTGGTGGACCTCCATGGGGTGGTGGTGGACCTTCATGATGTGGTGGTGGAGGCATTTCTTACTTTTATATTAAAAATCAATGAGCACACCTTAATACAATACCAATAATTTAACGTATAGCAATGATAAAATTTAAGTTTGACTTAAAATATCTATGGTCTTATGAACAGTTGGTTTATAGGAATGGCATTTTATCTTATCTAAATCTTTCAGTTTAGTAGATTCGCTGAAAGCCAAAAACGTAACTAATGGTTACATCCATGACTAATTTTTTATGAATAAAAATTTACGACAAAGGCAGGCTTTATTTTGAGCCCGTAATAATTTAATATTAGATATTTTATAGTTAGGTATAAGTATCGGCCATATTCAATAGTGTGTGGCCGACCTCATACTTTTGAAGTACCTATGTAACTTAAAAATTATAATGTTATCTAATAAATATATCATATATAAATGCAAAAACTAAAGTAATGTACAACGAACTAGTAGACAGAAAAGACGTGCTAATAAATAATTTCTTCCTCTTCTTTTTCTTCTTCCTCAGCCCCTATTCATCCACTCCTGGACAGAGGTCTCTCCTATCCTTTTCCATGTATCCCTGCTTTGTGCTGTATTTAACCAACGCACCGTTTACCTGCCGCTTCCCTAATGTCGTCCACCCAACGTTTCTGTGGACGTCCCACACTTCTTTTAGTTTGTCTAGGCCTCCACACTGTTATTCTATGCCCCCATCTGTCTTTATACAGTCTAGCAATATGGCCATTTCATTTTAGCCACTTCCTGAATTATATCGGTAACTCTTGTTTGCCTCCTGATCATTACGAATTTTGTCTCGCAGACATCGTTCCATAGTTCTTTGAGTTGTTAAGAGTTTATTTGCAAATGCTTTTGTTAGACTGGTCGTTTCCAGTCCATATGCAAAATACAGGCGTTACATACTTTTCGCTTCAGATTGATAGGGATCGTACTGTTTTTCAGAATATGTCCCAGTTTACCAAAGGCTATCCATGCTAATCGTATACGCCTTGTAATTTCTGCGTGTTGGTTTTCTTTTCCAAGTCTAATATTGTGGCCTAAATAGATATATTCTCTTACACATTCGATCTTATTATTTTGTATATTAATTATGCTTAAATCAACATTCGTAACCCTGCCAAAGAAACTCAATGCCTCACAATGTGATGACTATCGGATGATAAGCCTTATGTCCCATGTCCCATGTCCTCAAAACCTTTCTTAGTTAGAATCATCCACACGCGAATCTACAAGAAGTGCGAAAATCAGACAACACCCAGTGATGAATGACACAGAGGTGTAGAGACATGAATGGGAATGTATTTGCAATTTGCATGTTTCATAGACTATCGTAAGGCGTTCGACTGTGTTAATCATCAGAAAATGATTGAAATTCTAAGAACAACCGGAGTTGACGAACAAGACCTATGACGTTTCATCTCAGAATTTTATTAGCATCAAACGGCGGTAGTTGAGATGGAGCAGCCAACATCCGAAGATATACAAATTAGACGGGGTGTTCGGCAGGGTTGCGTCTTGCCTCCGCTCCTGTTTAACCTGTACTCGGAGACTATATTTAGAGAAGCACTGGATCGAATCCAGGGCGAAATCAAGTTCAATGGGATCCCAATAAACAATATGAGATATGCCGATGATACGGTTATAATAGCCAACGATATACAAGAACTGCAAAGCATTATAGATTCCGTAGTCCACTATAGTGAGATGTTTGGACTGCATCTCAATATCTCCAAGACCAAACTATTGGTATTTTCTAAGAGTCTAATAAATGCACACCTGCGTGTCAAGGGACAAACAATCGAACAAGTGACCTCAATAAAGTATTTAGGAGCTAACATCAATAGTAAGTGCGACCCGAAAAGATAAATATTTTCAAGAATTGAGCAAGCGAGAAAAATCTTCGTGAGAATGAAATCATTTTTTACACGACGAGACCTCAGTGCGGAACTCAGAACTGGAATGGCCAGATGCTACGTCTTCTCTGCGTTACTCTATGGATGTGAGAGCTGGACACTGGATTCACAGACCGAAAAGAGAATAGATGTCTTCGAAATGTATGTATAAACGGATGCTGCGAATCTCATGGGTACAAAGGATCACCAACGATAAAGTACTCCAGCGCATGCAGAAACAAAAGGAGATACTGAACACCATCAAGGAAAGAAAAATGCAATACCTGGGTCATGTGATGAGAGGTGGTAGATACGAAATACTGCGCCTCAAATGGAGGGCAAAGTGCAAGGGAAAAGATCAGTAGGAAGATGCCAGAATTCATGGCTAAAAGATTTGAGGAGAAGGTTTATTCAGTCCGCTCGTCTGCAGAAATCTTCCGGGCTGCAGTTTCCAGAGCCACAATTGCCATTTGGATCGCCAACCTTTGGCAGGAGAGGGCGTGATAAGAAGAAGATATATATGTTGGCTAGGTTAATAAATAACACAACGCTGGATATAGTAGAAGAATATATTTAGGACAACTAATACACAGCTCGAGATCTCTACTCTCTACTACCAGAAATCAACAGAAGAATTAAGTTAGCATGGAGTACTTATGGAAGAAATTCAATCATATTCAAATCTAAAATGTCACTTTACTAAAGAAGAAAACATTCGACTAAAGTGTACTAACAGTCCTGAACTACGCATAACCTATAGTATACATTACGTCTGCTGGATCTGTGTCTAATATATTTTATACGTCGACTTGACGAGTACGTCACCGCAAATCGCTCCGCCCACTCATTTTATTGGCTGCTTGCAAATTTGTCGAATTTTTATTGATGGGACGCGTCGATGTTTTCGTAAAAAATTACGAAAACATCGAGAGAATATCGTTTCCCCCCTCTCACGTAGCTACAGAACGGACAGATGTACTGTACAGTTTTCCATCACCAGTAAAAGAGCATACATCATGTAACCTTTCTTTCTTTCTAGCATATAAATTTTACAATATAAAAGGTCCCCACGATCACAGTTTCCACGATGCTCGAGTAAATTTCCATTTAGCATCTTCAGCTCCCGTACTAGAATTCTGTACATCCAATAATATCTAAGAAAACTGATTTTAAAAGTATTGTCTGAAGATATTGAAAGTAAATAGTAGATATAAAATATAAGATAAATTACATCTCAATTTAATTTTTATAGTTTTATACAACTTCAAATAATTCAGCATATAATTTATTTAATATTAAAATGGAGATTAAAATATTAAAAAAAGTACACTATTATAAAAAGATAATTACAGCCAGAACTATACCATTTCATAAAAAGAAAGTAATATGTCATTCTATAATATAATATACAGCGTTGTTCACCACATACGACACGGAGTATTGTAGCTAAACGATTAGATTTTTACAAATTGTAAGTTTTGTGTTCGTTAAAGGGCTATTAGAGCTACAATTTAAAAATATTTCTACAAGATACAGAGTGTCCCAAATAAGTAAAAAATATAATAGTTGTATTTTTTTTAAATGGAACACCCTGTATATTATTCTATTTTTGGATTCTACGATTGAAATAAAGGTAAATTTGATTAAGGTTTATCACACTTAAACCTTACCGTTTTTGAAATATTTTCAATTTTGTGAAATTGCAGTAAAAATTTTAAGGCTTCATTTCTCCAAGGGTATCAAAGTTTTTAATACTAAATATTTACTGAAGATTATTTATTGATCACATATTGTGCTGCAATAATAAAAATTTTACTACCTTATACAGAGTGTCCAAAAATTTATATTAAATAATTACTAGCTTTAAACGGCAATAACTTGTTTAATTTAAATGGAACACACTATATATTTTACATGAATCAGATGCACAATGTAATTGTCTATCAAACTGTATTATACCATTTTTTACCCATCTCTTCAAGTTTTCGTAGAAAATGCATTTTCTCATAATTTAGACCTCATTTATCACTATACCCATGAAATATTGAATATTTCAGACTTTTTATAGCACCATATATGTATAAAATATACAGGTGGTAAATATTACAAGCCCATTGGTATACAAAAAAGAACAATTTAAATCTTTGTAAAAGAGTATACTAATTATACCACCATTATTTCTGACCAAAAACCCCAAAAATTAGTTAATTACATACTTTTAAATTGTTTTAATTGATAAAGTATTCTAAATAAATGTGGATTTGGCTCAGAAATCAATATAATAGTAAGTTATGAAAATGAAGGTCTCTCATTTTATAAATAAAGCATTCGTCAAAAAATTAAATAAAATTTAGAAGGTTACTTTTTACCACACCGTCTAATACACACACAAAATTCAATTTTTTAGTATTTGGAGCAATTGTTATTAATCAACGTAACCAGTCAATTAATGTAGTTTAAATACTGGGATCATATTAATTGGTCCTCTAACAAAAAATAATTAAACAGTTTATTTTTTATTTTTTAATTAAATAAGCAAACTATACAATCGACAATATTAGTATCTGTACCCTTTGAAAATTTGTTACACCTTTAAAAATAAGCTAAAATATCAATATTCCATGGGTATAGTGATAAATGAGGTCTAAATTATAAAAAAATGCATTTTCTATGAAAACTTGAAGAGATGGGTAAAAAATGGTATAATACAATTTGATAGACAATTACATTGTGCATCTGACTCACGTAAAATATATAGGGTGTTCTATTTAAATTAAACAAGTTATTGCCGTTTAAAACTAGTAATTATTTAATATAAATTTTTGGACACTCTGTATAAGGTAGTAAAATTTTTATTATTGCAGCACAATATCTGATAATAAATAATCTTCAGTAAATATTTAGTATCAAAAACTTTGATACCCTTAGAGAAATGGAGCCTTAAAATTTTTACTGCAATTTCACAAAATTGAAAATACTCGTATAAAATAAATTGTAAATAAAAATAAATACTAAAATATTTTGATTAAAAGAAAATATGTAAAATTGGGCAACTCTGTGCCGGTCAAGCTTAATCACGGGACTAAAAGTTTATTTGATATGAACTCTAAAACATTTTTGGATTTGGGTAAGTTTGGCTAAAGTCAATTTTTTGTATATTTTATACAATTCTAATAGCAATTTATAAAACAACAATAAACATAAACTTAAGTAGGTTTTAAATAATAGTGAAATTAATTTAAAAAAACATACTTTATTATTATCAAAAAATACATCACTTAAATGCCTTACATCTAAAAATTTATGCTAACAGTCTCTTTAATACTAGATAATATAATGACACCAGAAAGTGTTTCAGTAAAATATCTACCAAAGGTTAGGTTAGGAACACTGGATAAAATATTAGACACATTCAGAAAAAATACTCACTTCGAGTTTATACACATAGAAGCTAATAAAAAATATTACTTTACCAAAACATACACGTTTCTAGCACTTTATAACCTCATAAAAACAAAACAAAAAATAATGTCTTATCACAAAATAGTGCAAATACAACAGACTGGCTCAGATCTTCTCCTGTGAGGATACATTGGTGGTGGAGGAGGTACGAATATTCCAGGTCCATGATGATGCCGATGATGAGGAGGTCCAAAACCCGGTCCATGATGCGGTGGTCCAAACCCAGGCCCGTGGTGCGGTGGTCCAAAATGATGTCCACCTCCCGGAGGTCCAAAATGGTGGCCACCTGGTGGACCAAATCCGCCTCCATGATGATGATGAGACATTTCGACTACATTGCTACTTTTTTCGAAACTATGTAATTATTCAAATATACTTGATGGGGAGATGTATGAATACTGTTTTGAGGAGGTTTTGTTTATATAAATATTAATAACGTTTTATCTCAGAGTGATAGAAGCGAAAACAAAAGATAAGATAATGTAACTTGTTATTGTGAATCGAAACTTAGTCATCGTAATATTAGGCCTGATTCAGAAGCTTCCTGTAATTTAGTCGAGTGTTCCAGTTAATGCTCTACTAATTCATACATAATTACGCATTTGAATGGAGCAAACTGGAAGAAACAAGTAAAAAGGCGAATCAAATCAATAGAATCCAACCCTGATTCTTGGTTGTAAGTAGTAAAATAAGGCGTACCCAGCACCCCTATTCGCTCACTGGTCCCGTAAGTTTGTTTGGTTGAAAAAATACTTAAAGAAATACAATTTCTCTTCATCAATCCTCACAAGCTGCCTTCTGTTGCCAAGATATGACTTAAGCCATTCGAGCGGCACTCCTCTGAATCCATAGTATTGCAATTTGTTAATTAAGATATTATGATTGACACAGTCGAAAGCCTTAGAGGAATCACAGAAAATTGTAGCTGTAGAGTTAAATGCAATTTCATTTTTTTTTCAAAAATATGCAAATTGCAAAATTTTTCTTATCTCGCCCAGTCGACAAATTATATCAAGATTTGGGTCTTTTCTGTCCTTATTTACTAGACTAATATCTAAGAAGCTATAAAAAACACACACAAGTTGTTACTTAGTGTGTTTGATTGAGTTTATAAATTGTTACTTAGTGATCTAAGTAACAATTTTTGAAAATCCATTTTCTAAGGAGTAAATATACATACATGTAAAATATGTCCTAAGCTTATGAAATCTTGCACAAAGGTACCTTAAGTTGACGTAATATGACTATTAATATTGATCATAAAATTATTTGGTTAAAAATGATCAAAATGGATAATCTAATTTAGTGCAACTAATGTAATAACAAAATGTCAAACTAAGATAAAAAGAAACGAGTGTTTTATAGTTCAAAATATATATATTTTCTGAGTTCAACAAAACACAAAATAGTTCATTAATATTTCGGTTTGCTGAATAATAAAATCTATTAGGTACAACATATTTGGTATTAAAGTAAAAAATGCTATCCGAAAATTTTCTTACACTAAGGTATCTAACAATTCTTTGGTATGGTAAAAACTATTATGGGCGATTTTCTGCCTGGCTCCTTGTTGCATGTTACTATAAAGTAAAGCTTGCAACATCTCGTATTCGTAATCTTCATTTGACAGCTCGCGGTGAAGCGTTTCTAAATGCCTCCTGCTTTTTTCGATCACTTCAAGCGTTTCTTCCAGCACAACTTCGTTGTGTTGCATTTCGCATGCGCTCTTCGCCATGTCTGTTCGAAGTTTCGATAATTCCTTGGACACTTCTTCGTTACCTTTAGCTTTTTGAAGTTCTTTCAATTTATTTCTGTCGTACTTCTTTAAATTACTGTCTAACTTGGTAAGTTGTTCCTCTTCTTTAAGTATGTGCTTATTTAGTTTTATTATTTTGTCTAATAAATCTAATTGTTCCTTGACAGCTGATTCGCTTACGGTTGAACTGGTATCGTCGTCTTTTATATTTGAGTTAAATTCTTCTGAGGACGGTGAAAATCGTTCACTGGTCGTCTGAAATAAAGCATTTAAATATAAAACTCAAAAAAAATGTGAGTGCACTATGTTCGCATATTTGAAGTGAAACTTCTTACTAACAGCTATTATTAAATGTTATTTTCAATTTATTTCTGTAATCTGTACAGGGTGGGTCAAATTGGATGCTTTTAAAGGGAAACACCCTTTTCTATAGGAGATAGACGAAAACTAAAGCCGTGTCTGGAGCTCAATTTTTATCAAAAACATGGTGGTGAAAACCGCACAGCGATATCTATTACCGTTTCGAAGTTAAGGGGTGTTTTTCAAAAATGTGCATTTTTATAAAATAGGTATAACATTTTTGCTATGGAATTTTTTTTTGTGAAAACATTTCTAAAGCACCTTTTTACGTAGAATTTAATGGTTTATGTATATTTTTTTTTGAATTAATAATTTAATAATTATCAACAGAAAATTTGATTTTTTATATGAGATACCCTGTATATTTTTAATTAATTGAAAATGAATTAAAATTACCTTTCCAAAAATATAGCATACTTAATATGTTGCTCGATTCCTCTTCGAGATATAGAGTTTTTAAAAATTCGCCCACTTGAATAAGTAGGCTTTGAACGATGCCGACTGTAATGCAAAAAAATTCTAGCTTTAAACAGCAATTAAAACGAAAATTATATTGTCAGTGAGAGATGCAGAATTGTATAACAATTTAAACAATATTTAGCGACATTAACACATTCAAATTATATCTAATAACAATAAAAATGAATAGCAAACCAAGACATGAGATTTTGCTACAGAGGTGTGATTCGCATGTCGACCGTCTTCTGTTATGGACAGACGGGACCGTTTTTGAACATTTCTGGCGAAATTCATTAACTCAGTAGGGTGAAAGATACCCTCGCATAACCGCTAAGTTCTTCTAATTCTTGTCTAGATTATACGGGGCAATTTTAAAACAAAAACCTTTATTCTTTCGCAAAAATAAAAATTCACTCAGGATAACAGGCAATAAGTCCGGCGGCCTCAACGGCCAACGGCTGGGATCTTGGTTAGCTAGCGAATTATTATTCTCGAAGTTGGCTGCAGAAACTTGCTGGTAACTTCAGCGTTCTGAGGTGGTGCCTCGTTTTGCTGAAAAAATATGTTTTCGAGTTCCATTAGAGACAGATCATCAATAAGGGGTCCAAAGCCTACTAGTTAAAAGTGGCGAACTTATAATAATTCTGTATTTCGCAGGGGACTGTAACAAAATATTAAGTGGTGCTATATTTTTGGAAAGATAATTTTAAGTTTTTTTCTGACTAGCAAATGAGCTAAATGCACATAACATAACTGAATAATGTAGCTTCTTACATTATTCAGAAGCTACCAACCTATAGATGCAAATATGAAAATTTACTTCGTAGCACACAACCAGAGGATCTTGGTACTCGGGTGCAGTATCAAGTTTATTAAAATGCTTTTCTTAGCTTTTTTTTGCGCAATCCTCATCACTTTTTTCTCGCTAGCTCGTGCCTCAAGGTATCACTGTTCGGTTTTTATATGATTCAAAATTAAAAATATATAAATGGTAAAATTACTATTTTTTTAATGATCACAATGAGTCCAAAACTATTGAACAACTAAATCATTTCCATAGGTTCAGTGACGTATACCGTGGTTTTAAATTTTGAGACCAAAAATTGACAATAATTTGCCAAAAAAGTTATATTACAGCTATAGTTTCATCATTGCGCTTCATATTATCATCTCGTCGAGATAATTCCACTATCTATCATGGTTGGCCGCAAAATTTAATATTGTGCACACGAGTTTTATCAGTTTGACAAGTGTCAATGATATACTTAATTAGAGTATTTTACTTTTGTTGGTAGCATTATTTAGTAGTTTCTTTAGTGTTTTCTTCGGTTTAAATTCTACGCAAAATAATGCCGACTTATAAAAAAAATCACGAACAAGCCCGCGCAACAGTGTGTTATACATGTTTTAATAAGACCGTGAAAAGCGTCAAAATAGTTGGTAAGGTATATTCTTCTATTCTGAAAATATTTCCGGACTACAGCGTTCATGATACTAGTGTACAAAAGGTCTTGTGTAGGACATGTTACATTAAACTAAGTAATAAAAAATTACATGAGATAGTAGACTACAGCAAGTTCCATTCGAGGCAGAAACAAGGTGAAGAATGTAACTGTTATATTTGTATAGTGGCCCGTTTTCGAAGTGTTCCGAAAGCCATACCCAACTTTCCTCATTGTCCTATAATTAAGAAAAAACCTGTTGGCGGACCTTTGCTTGGAAATACTCAACATGGACGTAAACCAAATGTTGCTAAATTGTGCAGTTTTTGTCAGACATCCATTCAAAAGGGTATAAATCATCGTTGTACCTTAAGCACGAAAATAAAAAAATCATTACTTTTGGCGGATGGTTGCAAGGAACAATTAGCAAGCAATATATTGAGTGAACAAGAAAACCTACAAGGAGACTCTTCTATTTCTTTAAACAAAGGAAGAGGCGCGTACATGAACGTTGAAATTAAACGTAAATCTGATGATCCCGACAGAAAAAAAGTTTTAATTGCAGACACTTTATGTAAAATTCAGCAGGATTGCAATTTGTCATTTAATAATCTAGAAAAAATTCGTCAGCATATTAGAACCATAGACAAAACTTTCACTGAATCCAGAGCTATACCAAAATTAAAGGAGAAAAGCCACATGCTAGATAATTTTTTCTCTTGTTCTGATTTTCCAATCAAATTTTCAGAAAATATTAATTTTGCCACCACCATTGTATACTGCTCAGATTTATCTGGTCTTCTATCATATATTTTGGAAATTAGAGAATTATCTGAAGATTTTCATGTAAAAATTGGCATTAATAGTGGTGGTGGATCACTTAAAGTTTGTCTGAATGTGCTCCCTGAAAATGATCCCGAATATTTCAAGAAATATAAAAGTGGTGGAATTAATAAACTATTCATAATTGGCTTAGGACCAAAGTTGTCTGAATCTTATGCTAACATTAAAAGCCTCTTTGAGACGTTAGATCTGCAGTCCATATGTGGAATTTGTTCCTATACTTTTGCCGCTGACTTTAAGCTTATTATGATTCTCCTTGGTCTTCAGTCAAATTCATCCACTCACACTTGCCCATGGTGTGATGTAAATGTAAAGGAAATGAAACTTAAAGGATCATTCAGAACTATAAAAAGTATTGCAGAAAATACAAATTTATGGCAACAATCTGGAGGAAATATAACAAATTACAAAGAAGCGTTTTCGTTTGAAATATTTCTTTGCTTTTTTTTTAAACTGTTGTTCAATGAACCATATAAGAAAAGGGAAATTATTTTTTAGAAAACTGTATAAACATACATTTAATCATTGGCGACGCAGAAACACCTGTCTTAAACTATATTCCACCTCCTGAGCTTCACCTTTTGTTAGGTGTGGTTCAAAACCTATTTGATTGTCTTGAATTGGAGAATACCAATGTTGCAACAGAATCGATAAAAAAAGCGGGATTGAAACTAGATCATTATGGAAAATTTAACGGAAATAACGCCAGAAAACTTTTAAAGAAAGTGAATATTTTGAAGACGATATCGCCCGGTAAAGAATCCTATTCAAAGTTTTGACAAGCAAAGACCTAAACATTTTTTTAGGAAATAAATATATTGCAGTGTTTTCTGCATTCAATCAAGTAGTTTCGAGTTGTTTTGGTCAAGCACTAAACAAACTTTTTTGAACGTGACATCGAACAATTTAGATTGGAAATACTCAACTTAGGTATTAAGATAACTCCAAAGATTCATGCAATTCTGCATCATGTGCCAGGGTTTATAAAAGAAAATCATAGAGCTCTAGGATTTTACTCGGAACAAGCATCTGAGCAGGTTCATTTTTCCTTTAAATTATTTTCTAAAAAGTTTAACTTGAATCCTCGTTCAGAATGCTACCAAAATAGTCTTTTACGATGTATTTGTTGTTATAATAGCCAACGTATTTAAGATTTGTGTTGTACTTAGCTTTAGTTAAATTTAGCGATAAAACCACTTAGTTTGAGAAGAAATATAATTATTCTAACTTATTAGTTAACATTTTTATGCAAAATAAAACATATAGCTGTAATATGATTTTTTTGACAAACTATTGTGTCAGTTTTTGGTCTCAAAATTCAAACTCACGGTACGTCACTGGATCTATGGAAATGATTTAGTTGTTCGATGATTTTGAAAGAACGCATTATGGCCATTAAAAAATTACTAATTTTACAATTTATATACTTTTTATTTTGAATCATATAATAACCGAACAGTGGCATGGTGAAGATCATGCCGTGACACACCACGGCCTTGAATCTTTACTCCTTTCTCGCGTCGAGAAGTTTCACTTCAATAATAAATAAATAATTTTTACCTCTATGTTTCTGCATTCCTTAGGATTAGTGTTATGTGACTGTTCACTATCTCCTTCGGTCATTACACCACTATCACTGTTTTTGTCTACGCCAATATGGTCTGTTTCAGGATCTACGGCTTCAGCAAGACCCTTCAGGTAGGTTTCCAATAGATAATTACTTCCATGTTTCCTGACTCTTGCTCTATGGGCCTTATCTTCCAAGTAACCTATCTGATGTTCGCTGTGCCTGTAAAATAACACATTCTCAATAACATAACAAATTTAGTTAGAAATATTCCGATTCTGGTCTTGTATGGTTTTTATTAATTTTTGTAGAGACTATGTCCCTATAACTAGTGTATTTTTAATAGCTATCAATCTATAACAGTCTGGAGGAACTCAACAATGAAATAGTAAGTACTCCGACTTAACGGATACTCAAACGATTTGATTAAAAAGAATATATCTAAGTGGTGATGAGTTAAACCAAGACCAAAATCTTAATGTTCTAGGTCTTGCAGCCTAAAAGTAGTCTTTGTCTTGGATATGCTGCAAGATTCTTATCTTGCACCATCTTGATACATTTTTATCAGCAATTTCTACAAAGAAAATGTTAAAAATAGTTCTCAAAGTAATTTAAATCAAATGGAATTGTGAAGAAAGAAACAATACTTGTCTGATGAAAATTTTTCATTTTCAAAAATTACCCTTTTCAAAATGTTTTTATAACATTTAATAAAGATATTGGAAGTCTAAAATCAGATTCTGACTCAAGATTATAGTGTGTCTTAAGATTTAAAATATAAACGTGCCTTAATTTTTTTAGTTGCCGTCGTATGACTTCGCCCTGGGCCAAAACTAATTTTAATAGTTCTTCCGTACTGGATGGTTCTTTGTCATGCATCGATTGGAATCTTTTAGGATGTATCGTCCTCCAGGCACTTCTATCTGAGTGAATGCTGGCATCTGATCGGCATTTTGTTCTTCTATTTGAAGATCGGTCTGATCTGAGCCTTCGTAAAGAAATTTTGACCTAAAAGAAAATTATTCTTTATAAAACAAGTAGAATACTCTCTAGCTATTTCATAGAAATATGGCCAAAATTTGAAATTCTCCTTCGGTCTCCAAAGATATTCACAAAAAATTAATAAACAACAGAATACACACGCTAGACGCTGCACAACCACGAGAAGCCGATTGATCACACAACGGCTTCAGCACGATTGATCACATACATACACTAAGAGAAACAAAGTAATGCGAACTTCCACTAGCTATAGCCTCATATGTACTTTAAGAAGTTATATACTTTAGAAGAATTTATATACTTTAGAAGGATTTCGCCTCGATAAAGGCAATAATAAAAGCCCTAGCGAAACAAAGTATTTACAGGCTTCATATAGCGCCACTCTCGCCAATATATAGAAGCCAAGAAGAAGCTAAAGCAAGAGTAATGATATAAAACAACCCCAGAGATCCCATGCAACTTGCAAAGGTGTACAACAGGAAGACGCGATATCCCCAAGCAACACTAGAAGAAATTTTCCGTCAACTACACTGGACCAACAAAGGATTAAAAATAGATGGAGAATATCTTAGCCATCTTAGATTCGCTGATACGTAGTCCTAATTGCCAATAGTTCTGAAGAACTATAAATACAAATTAACGAACTAAATACAGCCAGCAATAAAGTAGGTCTCAAACTAAATTCAGCAAAAACTAAAGTAATGTACAACGAACTAGTAGACAGAAAATTTATTCTAATAAATTACACAAAACTGACAACAGTAGAATAATACATATATTTGGGACAACTAATACACAGCTCGGGATATCTACTACCAGAAATCAACCACCTAATTAAAATAGCATGGAGTACTTATGGAAGAAACTCCAATTCAAATCTAGAAAGCCACTTTATCTAAAGAAGAAAACATTCGACCAATGTGTACTACTACTGCAACCAATGCATGCGAAAGCTGGACACTTAAAACAAGCATTATAGGGAAACTGCAAGTCGCACAACGCTCCATGGAACAAAATAGGCTGTGAATAATCAAGAAAGACGGTAAAAGAATAGAGTGGATAGGACAAAAGACTATAGAGATAGATGTCATCCACAGACTAAAACCCTCAAGTGGTAATTGGCGGGACACCTGACGAGAAGGACGGACGACAGATGGACTACAAAAATTACAGCATGGCATGCACGAGGAATTATGAGGCCTAGAAGAAGACCTAACTTGAGATGGGACCATGATATTAGGAAATTAGCAGGGATAACTTGGGTCCGCATAGCCAAAAATAGACAACAATGGGCTCAACTACAAAGAGAGTATCTAAATATGTGAGGGAGGCTACACCATAATTGGAAATGCTTGAATAAGCTGAGAATGATGATAATGATAGCCAAAATCATGGTAAATTCATTAGAGGCTATTATTGATTTTTTTTTTCTATAATGAATTTGGAATATATTTTAATCAATTCTATTTTAATCAGAAGCATCAAATAAATTCTAAAAAAGTTAATCAAATTGTCACGAGGTATTTTATATAAAGAACTCTATCTGGAAAACAGGTTAGTATTAGGCTGGATTACTTACTTCAGTTTGTGCTGATCCCCATGTGTTCCATATATCCAATATTTTCGAATATGGTTCTAAAGATTGCTCTACTCCTCTCCATCTTTCAGTTATTTGGTAATGATCTGGTGAACCCATATGTCTCCCCTACAGAACAAAACACATATCATTATATTAACTCAACGAAATGTGATCATATTTTAGGTAATTCAAAAAGATATTATTATACTATAGGGTAATACTTGAAATTCTAGGTTGAAATCATATTACCACAAAATATGCCTCCCAAGAAATATAATCCTCCTAAATAATTCTCTACTCCTTACTAGTTGTAAAATTAAACATCAATAAGTAACGTATTTGACAAATTGATTAAATTATTTTTTATTTAAATTTTGCATCCAAATATCCTAATATTTCTTAAATGCAGTAGCAACTCCAATAGTAATTATTAGTATAGTGCGTCAATATGACAGGAAGGCAGGACTTTTTTAACTTACTCTTTTTTCTTCGTCCTTTAACAGGACTTGTATAACGTCGTAACAAGTAGTTTCATCGGTGATACCAGATACCCATCTTTGTTCTCCTCTGATCCATACCGGTATCTCTTCACCACTGCTGCCACTGCTTTCAAGATCAGAGTCGTCCCTTAATCGTGATGACCGACTAGTGTCATTTAACCACATTGTTGTAAATTTCTGAAACAATGAAAAAAGAAATTATGTAAAGATATGTAGAATAATTGAAGTTTCTTAAAATGGAAAACAAATCAATATTAGGCATTTTTATTTCTGTAATAATTATAATGACTTGACAATTGCACTATATGATATTCTACTAGTAAAAAACTTTATTTCTGATTATATTTACTTAGTAATCCAAATGGTAGATTATTCTTTTATAAATAGGGCGCCGTGCAATTGCCAAGATGATGAGATTTCATCTTTTTGTAGGTTATCCTTCTATTTTTTCTCGGGTAATAAATCTTTCAAAATAATATTAAAGAAATTTTACTACAAATAATTCATAAACTTTCAATTAATATTGTTACATTGATATGCAAATGAAATCAGACAATTTCAAATCTACTAATTCTATTTTTCTAACATTCTGTAGACCGGAGAGTCAGTTACAGGTAGCAGCTAGACTCCTAGCTTTAAATCCATAAGGATATTTGTAACCCTGTATATTTTCTCAAAAATATAGAGGGTTGTTCACCACATACGACACGGAGTATTGTAGCTAAACGATTAGATTTTTACAAATTGTAAGTTTTGGGTTCATTGAAGGACTATTAGAGCTACAATTTAAAAATAATTTTACAAGTTACAGAGTGTCTCAAATAAGTAAAAAATATTATAGTTGTATTTTTTTAAATGGAACACCCTGTATATTATTTTATTTTTAGATTCTACGGCGAAATAAAGATAAATTTGATTAAGATTTATCGCCCTCGAACCTTACCGTTTTTGAAAGATTTTCAATTTTGTGAAATTGCAGTAAAAAATTTAAGGCTTTATTTCTCCAAGGGTATTAAAGGTTTTAATACTAAATATTTACTGAAGATTATTTATTGATCAAATATTGTGTTACCATAATAAAAATTATACTACCTTATACAGAGTGTTCAAAAAATTATATTAAATAATTACTAGCCTTCAACGGTAATAACTTGTTTAATTTAAACGGAACACCCTGTATATTCTACGTGAATCAGATGCACAATTTAATTGTCTATCAAATTGTATTATACCATTTTTTATCTATTTCTTCAAGTTTTCGTAGAAAATGCATTTTATATAATGTGTTACTTGTTACCACACTGTTTAATATACTGTTGCGGACCCGTGTGGACTCGACCTAACGTAACAATACATACAAAATTAATTTTTTTAGTATTTGGAGGAATTATTATTAATCAACGTAAACAGTCAATTAATGTAGTTTAAATACTGAGATCATATTAATTGGTGCTATTTAACAAATGTTTAAACATTTTTTCTTACTTTTTAATGAAATAAGCGAATTATATCGACAATATTAGTATCTGGTACTCTTTGAAAATTTGTTACATTTTTGAAAATAATCTAAAATGTCAATATTCCATAGGTATAGTGATAAATGAAGTCAAAATTATAAGAAAATGCTACTTCTAAGAAAACTTGAAGAGATAGGCAAAAAATGGTATAAGACAATTTGATAGACAATTAAATTGTGCATCTGATTCTCGTAAAATATACAGGGTGTTCCATTCAAATTAAACAAGTTATTGCCGTTTAAAGCTAGTAATTATTTAATATAAAATTTTAGACACCCTCTATAAGGTAGTATTTTGTTTATTATTGCAATAATAAAATTATTGCAAATTATTGCAGTAATTATTTAGTATTAAAAACTTCGATACCCTTGGAGAATGTAGCCTTAAAATTTTTACTGCAATTTCATAAAATTGAAAATATTTCAAAAACGGTAAGGTTTAAGTAGTGTAATAAACCTTAATCAAATTTACCTTTATTTTAATCGTAGAATCTAAAAATGTCATAATATACAGGATGTTCCATTTAAAAAAATACAACTATAATATTTTTTACTTATTTGGAACACTCTGTATCTTGTAAAAATATTTTCAAATTGTAGCTCTAATAGTCCTTCAACGAACCCAAAACTTGCAATTTGTAAAAATCTAATCGTTTAGCTACAATACTCCTTGTCGTATGTTGTGAACAATCCTGTATAAATAAAATCAGACAATATCGTATTGATTAATTCTAGTAGTCTAACTTTTTGTTACCAGTTACCTGTACCATCTAGACATCTGACTTTTAATCCATATAAGAATATTTCGAGATTTTTAATTTTTTTCCTTTCGTTATATAAACTAAAATCTAAACAAAATTCAAAATTTGAAGTCTGTGGAAATTCTAGAAGAACCTTAGAATTTTGATGATCTGTCAGTGAGTCAATATCGAAATTAAAGAAATTTGACAAGCGATAATTCATAAACTATCGCATAAAATTAGATAAAATTACTAGACTGGTAACATAGCCATATAGTATGTCCTCTTGATTAGTAAAAATGTATATTTTTGCTTTATCCATGCACAACGAAGTCACACCGGGGTTGACCCCCCCCAAAAATAAGTGCTGTACCTCCAGATAAAGACAATAGAAATCCCCGAAATTCTTTTAGTTTCAATACTGAATTATTGCCTACCATACTGAAAGAAACGTATAAAATGCTTAAATTATTAACATTGCTTGACCATAAAATTATATAATCAATGCACAAATGTGTGAGACTGTAATTCAGAAACGATCTTAAACCATATATTATCTTAACTAAATTCAAACAATAAAACGAACAAAATAGTGGAAATTTTTGTCGAGACCTCGCGAGAGTTAAACCAAGAACGCGCATTTCTAATAGACCCGATTCGAGATTTTTACCATATAAACGCCAATAATAATTAGAGATGAACTGGTACTGATTAGTTAAAAAGCTGCAAGTCGTCCTTGCATGACATTTTTTACACGAGCTCGCCGGTACCGAGTCGTACGTCGTGTTTTTTCGCCTTACGCGCGCGATTCAAGGAATGGAGCCGCTTTTATGGAACAAGGAAACTGTGCGAAGGCATGATTCTATGAGCATTTTTTAATTGCCGTTTTTGTCCCGCATCGAGATTAGAAATTGTTCTTTGTCAAGCTGTTTATTTTCTTGGACCGCACAAGTGTATTCGTAATCACAGGCATGAAGGGGTGGACAGGGTCAATAGTTAATAATAAAATGGGATAATCAAAGATATTCAACAATAAATTCCCTTACTAAAATTATTCATAATTTAAAACTGTTAACAGCCGCCACAGACGGTCAGTGGTTTTAGCCTGATTTGTGCAGACATATCGACACGTGTGTGGAAACTTCCTGCCGACTGTGCAGGACTGCAGGATGTCGAAAAGTTGTATAGTTCACGAACTAGTTCAACAGATTGAATCTTGTATGCGAAATAAACTATAAATAAGACTGAAAATGAGAACGAGAACAAAATAGGTGGGAAATGGTTGAACTGCAAAACTATACTATATAGTTCTGCTTTCAGTCGACAGTGGTTGTCGGATAAAACTAAAATCATGTGCACTCCCCCGGAAGACCACAACAATGCTATAAAAATCGGAGAAGAACTATTAGAATATGTAGCGGAATTCAATTACCTCGGCAGTTTGATTTCGGAAAAGGCCAATATCGACTCTGAAATTCAGCACAGGATTAGCAGCGCCTCAAGAGCATTCCGGAAATTAAAAGACAGGGTTTTCTGTTTCATCAATCATGATTTGAACACAAAAACGAAACTTGCAGTGTACCGAGCAATAATAATTCCCACCATATTATACGGAAGCGAAACCTGGGTGCCGTACCGCCGACGCATGAACGCATTAAGCAAGTTGCAACAGAGACATCTTAAACAAATCTTAAGAATCAAATGATTCCATCATGTCTCATGAGAGTATTGAAGTCATGATTACAAAATCCCACTTAAGATGGGCTGGTCACGTATGCAGAATGCTCGGCAGAATGCAAGAAAACCGCATATCAAAATCTCTGCTTTACAGTGAGCTTGTAGACAGTAAGAGGAGGCCGGGTGGACAACTCAAAAGGTACAAGGATATTTTCCACGAAAACGTAAAGGGGATTAACAAGCAGAATGATAGGAAGAAGCAGCTCACAATAGAACGGAATGGAGAAGAATTGTAAACTCAGTTAACAGCGAAAACCAAAAAGTAAAGAGGCAACAAAACAATGAGATTTTTGAATGTACGGAGTGCGGTAGACAGAAAAGCTCATGAAAGAAAACGCCTTACGTGACCATCTTCTGATGCGTGTCAAATACTCGTCAGCCAGGTAAGGTAGTATGTATGTATGTATGGTTGTCGAAGGCAGTGGTGCCAGCACTACTGATTAATCCGTAAATTTATGGATTTTGGGTACAGTACGTTAATAATAGGGATTTTCTATCATTAAACAATTTAATAAAATACTATACGATTAAATAAAAAACGGCGTCAGATTTGGCTTGGAAATGAAGATCGCTGTTATTTAATATGTCAAATATTACGATAAATGTCAATAATCGTCATTTCCAAGACAACTAAACGATTATTTCGATCATTCGACATATTCAGTATCTATAAAAGAATTAATATTTTTGTTGTTTTACACCAATAAATTTTTATTACACAAACACGGATTTTTCATACAAAGATGTTTTGGTCAAACGTATTACAGATATTACACATTTTAATATGACAACACGGTCGCTTTCAGATCCACACCGTCTTCGATATGCCTTCGCTGGCCGAATTAGAGAAAACGAGTATTTTATGCGTTGACCGCTGAACGATTGGTGTCTCCACCGTACAGCACTTGAGAACTAAGGGGAAATCAAATCAAACTTGTCACGAATTCACCCATTAGGTTATAGTACGAGAGCTAGCAACGTCAAGAAAACAAGTATTTTAGGAAAGCTGGCTCTTTAATATATCGTTTACTATGCTCTCTGGAACAGCATGCGGCCCGTCCGGCTGCCGGTAAACGTTGCGTTCCCTACTGCGCATTGAAAGAAGATCTATTTTTTTATTAGTACTTTAAATTCTAGTCTTGAAATATAAACCGAGCGAGTCTCCATAGCGCAGCGCGTAGAGG